TTATTTTTTTAAAATATTTTGTTAATTAAATTTATTGGTTAGAACTACCATTATTATAAGTACTACGAGTATTTTGAAAAAAAATGAATAAATACAAAAGACAAAGTGTTTGGTGCTCCAGATTTTCCGCAAAACGAGGTAACCTCCTCCACATATTTACTTCGTAATCCGTAAAAGCACTTCTGAAACCATGGTTTGGTTCTAAAACACTCCTAAAGTGGATTAGGGTTTTATAGTTAAGACTAAAATAAAAGTTAAATAAATTTTTATATTAAGGACTAGAGGTAGTATTACAATAAGACTAGTTGCTTTGGATAATAGCGAATATTCCTATTAAGTAATTAATGCTAAGCCACATAATTATTAATTTAACAAATTTAGTCTAACACATATAATAGAAGTATTCAATTTTACTACTTCCAGTCTTTAATATAAAAATTAATTGACTAATTTGAGTAGACTAAGAAAATTTGTTAAATTAGTTATTTGTATTAAATATGTGTTGTCTTCTCTAGAATATCTTTATTAATCATGTATATTAGTTAGAACTACCATTTGATAAAATTTTTAGCATGTGAAATTACTACAATGACTACTTTGAAAAAAATAGATAAACATGAGAGGCAAAATGGATTTGGATCATATATTTAGAACCAAATTAAAAATCAAACAAACTTTTATATTAAAGACCGGACGTAGTACTCCTCCGGTCCTTAATATAGAAACCAATTCTTGAGTTAGTTTTAGTCCTAAATATAAGACCCATTTCTCATATTTATCAATTTTCTCTAAATTACCCCTATAGATACTCCCTCAACCATAATTAAATAGAAGAGGGAGAGGGGATATTAAAAAAGATGATTATGGTATTTTAGGAAAAATGTGTCACTTTTCTTATAATTAACTAACTTACCTAACTTCCTTAATCTAATCAAATTAGTTAAATGGGTCTTATATTAAGGACCAGAGGAGTATTTCTTAAGTTTTAATTGTTGCTATTTACTTGAACTGTCTTACACGAGAACTTCGCCGGGCAAGGGCCTGCACACAAGATACAGTAGAAGCCTGTGGGTGGGGTAAAAAACAGAGACATAGGACAACGAAATAATCGTTATTATTGGAGATATTAAAAGGTACGCAGCTGTCGATGGAAACTGTTGAGGTTCTTGACATATTCTGCTTCGGCCTTTTTCTTGTTTCTCTCAACAAGCACAAAATATATATTCACATTAATAGTGCCATTAACAAACAGAGCCCCAACGCCGATGGAGAAAAAGGCTTATCTCTTGAAATTACCAGAACCCGTCTTGGATAACATTCTCGACCAACTTTCACCAAATGAACTACGTTGCATGTCGGAGGTTTGCACTTGTTTGATGCGCAGATGCAGAAGTAATCGATTGTGGGAGAAACACGTACAACGTAGGTGGGGAAGACTGCTTGATGTTGCTGCTTACAGAGAGTGGCGATTTCATATGATGAGGATAATGAACAGAGAAAGCCCCTTGCGACTACAAATGAATCCAACGAATGGATCATTAGGATCATTTACTGGTGCTTGGCCTCTTTTATGCCTTTCTTCGTATCTGGAAAATCCCAGAGACTTGACTAATTTATTATTATCGAATCATTCAAGCATGGCCTTGTATATTTCTCTTCAGAGTGGTCGATTTTGGTTCCCTGCTCAAGTGTATCTGATGGCACCGGCAAGTTATTTCACTCATCAACTCTTCTTTATGTTATAATAATCTCTGTGACAAAATTGAAAATTCAGATTTTACATTGATTAGTTTCAGCTTCCAAGGCGATATCATGCGTTACTCAGTTATGACCATATCTCAAACACTTTTCAAGCAAGGTATGACATTGTTGAGATATAGTCGGGCTGTCGCTCATATAGTTTGGATTTAATGAACTTAATTCCATAACATGATGTCATATATCTCTATTCTTAAAAGTTTTCAAATTTTCATGAGTAGCTGTTTGTTGTAGGTGTCCAACGAATGAGTGGAGACTGATTGAGAAATATATAAGTTGGGCTAGGTTGGGATTACCCCCATCTCACACTTCTCCGTATGCTCTTTACGTGTCCAATAATAAAAATGATTTGAAACCCGGCGATCATGTTGAGGTCCAGATGAGAAAAGGCAGCCGAGCTTATGGTGATAGTTCCCCCCCCCCCCCTTTAATAGTGATAACTTCATTATATTACTTGGAATCCAATAGTAGTATTGATCGATTTAATTAATTTTCATATGAAGTTAATTAGTAGTTTAATTTAATCATATAAATTATGAATGGGATGTGTAGATTGGTGCTATGGTGTTATTGATCACTTGAAATCATGCGAAGACAGGAACAATCATTGCAGTTGCGAGCATAGCGGTAAGTTAAAATCATTTGGAAGACAGAAGGAGTGTGTGAGACACACACACAACATTTGCGGAATGAAACTAATGATTATTGGTTTTGGAACTAATTGATGATAGATAATACTCTTCCGGTTCTTAATATAGGACCTAATTGTTAAGTTGGTTTTGGTTCTAAATATAAAACTTATTTATTATATTTATCAATTTTTTCTAAATTACCCTTATGGATACTCCCTCAAACATAATCAAGTAGAAGGGTAAGATAGGGTATTAAGAAAGATGATTGTGATATTTTAAGAAAAACATATCACATTTTTTATAATTAACTAATTTAATTAATTTTTTTAATCTAATCAAACTAGTTAAATGAGTTTTATATTAAAGACCAGAAGAGTAATTTGATTATCGCTGTGTGGATGTAGAAATGTTAGCGGTGGTGTTCAAGATGCAGTACTCACAGTGGAAATCGATAGTGATAAATAGAAAGGTGAATGGGGAACAAAGAAATGGAGTTTGGAGGATTGGAGGAATCAGAAAACCGGATAACGTGGAGGATATTCGAAGATGGAACAACGAATACCATATTTAGCTCATCACAAGCTCACTTTTTTTTTCTTCTTATTTATAGCATCTTTTATTGATTCATACAGTAAATTGAAGTTGCGATAGAGATGAGCATTGGGTGCTCATCAGTTATAGCATCTTTTATTGATTCATACAGTAAATTAAAGTTTCGATAGGGATTTGCATTGGGTGCTCATCAGTTTTGATGAGCACCCAATGCTAATCAGATCTAGACAGTCCAAATATGATATAGACGGTCCAGATTTAATTTTATTTTTATTTTTATTTTTTAAAAATAATTATTTTAATCGGTATAGGATAAAAAAATAAAGATAATCTCTTAACTATCATTTTTAAAAAATATAATTTTTTTATTTTTAATAATTATTTAAAAATATTAAATCTGGACGACCCAGATTGCCCATCAGGTGATGAGCACTGAATGCGGACGCGTTTTGATAGTCGAATGAGCATTAATTATTTTATTAATTACCTCTTTCATATTGCGGAGTAATTATTCGAATTAACTAGCATCCCTGCGTCTATGAGAGATGGGTTTCTCTAGTTCATTTAAATTTTAAACAACTAAATCAGATTATAAAGGTGTTTGGGTGAAAATAAAATCATTATTTTAAAACTGATTTTAAATATACGAAATAAATTCTGTTTAGAATTGCGTGAAAGTATTTTTTAAAAATATTTTTTAAGATAACCAAACACTTTCATACCAATGATGCCCATAGGGAAAAAAAGTACATCTTTGCAACAAGATTGGCCCATTAAGCAATACTGCTACGCTAATTAGTTTCTCGTCAATCGTTTTATATAATTTTTTATTATAAATTGGATATTTTATTCCATGCAACACACAATAAAATTAATAAATTCTTTTTTAAAAAATTATTCTTGTCCTTTTAACATTTAAAACACTTTGAATACATATAGAAAAAAATAATAATAAAACATCGGAATACTGAAAATGAAGTCATACGGAGGCTAATATTTCAACAAGTGGGCCAAAAAATGAACATTAACAACCTAGAGTGAACTGGAATGTTGTTCATTCATATAGCTTGTGATTAGTGGGTGCAATTAATCCCTTAATTCTTTTAGTTTTACATTAGTTGAATTCAATTTAATTTGTGCAGGCATGTTTTCTGTTTAGTGTTTACCCAATTACACGCACACCTTCATCTCAAGAAACTTAGAGGGTGATTGGTCCATGTGTGCGAGACTCCGAGTTTTAACTCTCCTTTTTTAAATAGCAATTAGCTTTCGTATATCTTTAGCAACGCAAACACGCTCAACAGATTGGTTCACATAGAAAGTGACAACAAATATTGAGCAACTTTGGGTCACATCTCTAAGTAGAATGGCGGACAATTTAATATAACGACAGTATTCAATTCTATTTCTTAACGTTTTCGCCCGGGAAAAAAACAAGTTGTATTTCTTGATTTCATCATTTACTCTGTTTTAAACGAAAACTCTTGCACCGGACCAAGGCACGCAGACAAGATAGTAGCCTGCACAATGGGTCAAAAAGAAAAAAAAAGACAAAGACATAAGTTAAAAATTATCCTGCTTGGCATCTTGGACGAAATTGTGGAACTTGACATATACATCCTGCTTCTTCGATAGAGGCTTGTTCTTATTTCCTCTTTCAAGCACGAGATCAAGATCAAAATTTTTGTTCCCATGAAGAAAGAAGCTCCTATCTTGGAGTTACCAGAACCCATCTTGGACAATATCCTCGAGAGACTTTCACCAACTGAACTATGTAGCATGTCCGAGGTTTGCACTTGTTTGATGCGCAGATGCAGAAGTAATCGATTTTGGGAGAAACACGTACAACGTAGGTGGGGAAGACTACTTGGTGATGTTGCCTACAGAGAGTGGCGATTTCATATGATGAGGATACTGAATAAAGAAAACTCTTCATCGCAATTAAATCCAAATGGATCATTAGGATCTTTCTATGGTGATTGGCCTCTTTTATGCCTTTCTTCCTTTTTGGAAAATCCTAAGGACTCAACTAATTTATTAGCGTCAGATTATTCCAACATGGCTCTGTACGTTTCTCTTCAAAGCGGTCAGTTTTGGTTCCCTGCTCAAGTGTATAAGATGACTCCTGTAAGTTAACTCTTCTTTATGTTGTACAAATTTTTATGATTTTTATGGCAAAATTGAAATATTGGATTTTATATAATGATTAATTGCAGCGTCCAAGGGCATATGATGCGCTTCTTAGCTATGATCATATTTCAAACACCTTTCAAGCAAGGTATTCTTATAAGATAGTTTTACATCACTCAAAATAATTGCACATTTTCATGAGCAGCTTTAATTGCAGGTGTCCTACAGGTGAATGGCCAATAATTGAAAACAGTATAACGTGGGACAGGTTACGATCCCCCCCAGTTCACATTTCTCCTTGTACTCTTTATGTATCCAATAATAATGGTCTGAAACCTGGTGACCATATTGAGATTCAGAGCAAAAGAGGCAGCTTAACTTATGGTAATAGTTTATTTGTCAATGATAGACTATTCGATCACCATGTCATATCTGGAATTGAATTAGTATTGACGAATTACATTTTCATTCGAAACTAGTATCTTAACCCTAAATTATGAATGAGATGGTGCAGATTGGTATTACGGTGTTATTGGTCACTTGCAATCATGTGATGAAGATCATTGCAGTTGCGAATATAGCGGTAAGTTAGAATCATTTATAAGTGAAGGTAGGAAGAGTTTGTGAGACACACACACACACTCACTCAAACACAGATATATGTGAAGGAAACCGATGATTATTAAACTTTGATTGTGTGTTCATCATTTGATAGAAATGTTGGTGGTGTCGTTCAAATTACAACGTAGAGATCGCTCGCGGTGGGAATCAGTATTACTAAATAGGCAGATGAACGGGGAACAAAAAGCCAGACCTTGGAAATTCGGAGGTATTAGAAAACTGGAAAACTTGGAAGATATTCGAAGCTGGAATGCAGAATATCATACGTAGTTCATAAGGCTTATTGCCTTTTTAATTATAGTATATCCTTGAGAATATATGTACTGATTTAAGTCAAGAGTGTCGACTTATAACCATCTTACTCGATGTGAATGGTTTGTTTAGCTTGAGTGTGAATTTTAATCATAATTCTTGGTACTTTTTGATATGCATGATCGATCTCTCAATGATTTATATAGATTTCTCCTTTATATTTATGTTTGTTTGTATAGAGATTTATATGGTTGCTCACCTTTCTTCTCTAATGATACGAGGATATCACACTTAATCATAAATAGTTAAATACAAAGAGTGATTTTTCTTGACATTGAGAAAAAAATGATAAAATCAAACTTAAATAGATTTCATGCGCACGCATAAGTTGAGATTTAGATAGCGTATTTAAGTGTTGTTAAAATAAAAAAAGATAACGGATTTAAGTGGCGAGAATAATAATCACTAATGAATATGACACAAAAAACAATTATATATATTATTACACCCTTTAATCCTATTTGTAAGATTCATTAACTACTTTATTTAAATGAAAGAAGTGAGTTAAAAATAGTCATAGATTTTAAAATTTTAAAATTACCCTAAATGAAGTCAATTAATTAGAAAATATTGTTTACTTTTTTAAGAATTTGTTCAGCCAGTTAAAGAATATTAGAGCAAAGGTCTTTTTTCTTAAAAAAAAAAAGGTTAATTAATCTGCAAATCTTTATAGTTTCAATCAATTTTGAATCAAGTCCCTATATTTTTTTTTCCTTTTTATCAAGTCCTTATACTTTTACCTATTTTTAATTACGTTCTTGTATTTATTTTTCTTTTAATTAAGTCCTTATAATTTTACTAAATTTTTAATCAGGTCCATGTAGTTTTGATTTTTATTTATTAATTAAGTAGATTAATACTGAAATATAAAATATTAATAATTAAATTAAATTAATAATTATATAATAAAAAAGTAATAGAATTAATTAATCCAGGAAATTTTTTTAGAACAATTATTTTTTTTTGCTGAAAAAATAAAATCATTATAATAATTCAATATCTTTATAATATTATTGTTTATAAACTAATATTAGATAATATATACTATTTTATATTTATAGAATAGTACTATTGGAATTTATAAAATAAAGAATAAAAAATTCAGGGACTTAATTAAAAATAAGATGAACGTATAAGGACTTGATAAAAAGAAAAATAAATGTAAGGACCTAATTAAAAACAGGTGGAAGTATAAGGACCTGATAAAAAGAAAAAAAATTATAAAGACTTGATTCAAAATTGGTTGAAACTATAAGCACCTGTAAATTAATTATCCTAAAAAAAAATAATGTCTTTAAAAAAGGCTGTTACGCCAAGACAATGAGGAAGGGTCTTGCGAGAGTAAGCCGGAGGATACCAAATACCGTAACAACGCTTCTACTAAAGGCTCAACTCACAATTTGCCAGGGCCCATCCCTCTGGCCTCACTCTGTAGGTTTTTCTTACCAGATTTGATTTGACAAATGCATGTTGTTAATTAATGTTGTCATGTACATATACACACACACATATATTCCAAATTGAGGTGGCATTCGAATATAATAACACCAAGGTTATATAACAATAAGTGATGATAATACACACACAAGCACACACAAAATACCGGTTCTCATAATTGGTTACGGGGGTGATAATGGTCGGAGGGATGGATATTTTAGTTGATTTAATATGAACGATGCATGAGTCCAAAAAAAAAAATATGAACGATGCAGGTTCCAGCAGCTGGGTGCATCTTGTGAGGCAGCACTCAAACTGATGGATTGGCATTTTCTTTGTGGTCATTTGCTACCATTGAAGTTTGATCACGGCACGTAAATCAGAAAAAAGATAAAAAAATCACAAAATAATAATTGCCGGCGTTTTGTGAAGGCAATAACAAGAAGAAGCTGCAGAAAATATTAGTCGTAGCTGTTTACAGCACTATAAGAATAAAATTATAAATTGTACGTGTAATGGGTTTGTGTACGTGTGAACCAACCAAGTAAAAAGAGGTTGTGATACACATGCTAGAAGCATTAGCATTGTGAATTATAAATAACGAAGACAGATTAAAGGTATCATTTATTCGTTAAAAGCTTTAAGTATTCATCACTGTTATGTTGCTTCTCCTCTTGGCAACAGCATAGAGAAGTTGCGCGTGCATCTCATGGAGAATGAAAAGAAACGTAATATTTGCCTCTTAGATTTGCCTGAATCAAACTTAGACTGCATTGTAAAACACCTTTCCCCATTGGAATTGTGTATAGTGTCGGAGGTATCTATTATTCTGAGGAAGAGATGCTCAGGCGATGCTCTTTGGAAAGAACATATCAGACGAAGATGGGGTCCAGTAATAGGAGAGGTGGTTTATAAGGAATGGAAATGGCATATAACATCAGCAAAAGAAGATTACTCTTTCGGCATCCATCAAAATAACGGATTGGGAACTTTTGGTGGTGACTGGCCATATCTATCTCTTGGGTCGTATTTGGAAGACTCCGAAAAGCTTAGAGGTTCACTATCAAATTATCCCATGAAAGCTTTATATTTCTCTCTAGAGAGTGGAAAGTTCTGGTTCCCAGCTCAAATTTACAGGGTAAGATTGCCCTATTTCATAGAAAGTCTAGGATTTTTTTCCATTGAAAAACTCAGTTTCTTTGATGCAAAAGTTTTGCAGGGGAATGGATTGCTGTCTTGCTACGATGCCTTACTTAGTTACGAGTCTGAAACAGATTCCTTCCAAGCACGGTTAGGAACAACGGCTTCCTCTGCCAAACTGTTACATAAGAATTGCTCTTATGGATTTTTCGTATTTGAGAATTAGCAATTTAAACATTTGGTCTTTAAGATGAATGGCTGTTAACTTTGGATACAGAAAACGACGTGGTGGTTGGCATTTTATAAGGAGAAACATAAGGTGGGACGAGGTGAGAGCCACACCAGTTGAAACCCCTCCAAATACTCTTCATGTCTCTGATGATCTCAGTAATTTGAAACCCGGCGATCACATTGAAATCCAATTTAGAACAGCTGGACAAGAATTTTATGGTATGCTTTGCCTCTAAGCTACGTACGATGTTCTTTATTAAAAAGTCGATCGTAACTGGTAATTATTTTGCTGGGAGACAAGTGTGAGTCAATATGAGAACAAATTCCCCATTGAATGAAGTTAGACTACTGAAAGAGAGGCATATAAATAAAAAGGTCTACGAAAACCTATATATTGTTGACTCAATACCAATTCGTGCCTCCAGATTTATAATTCTCTTCTCTCTCAATTTATGATTAATATGTGATATCAGAGCTTTGATGCATATACCAATTCTTGTTTCTGAATATATGACCTGCAGAATGGTGGTATGCCACTATAGGACACTTGGAAACATGTGATGAGAATGAGAATCATTGTGGGTGTGACCAAAGTGGTGAGAATATGTGGTTTTGTGGTTTTTTTAAGTCTGTGACTTGGATTGTTTAGTGGTGTGGATATTGATTATTTAGTGTGTGGCAGACGTGGTGGTGGTGGAGTTTAAGCAAAACGCTCCAAGATCTCAAATGAGACGCCTAGTGCTCAGCATAAACAACTACAGGGAGCATCATGATGGAATGGGTCGTTTGTATGGAGGGATTAGGAAGATTCACAGCCAACAACAGATTGATGCTTGGAGAAGCCTATTTCCTCAACATTACGTACGTGTAATTTACAGTTTTATCCATCTAACATGGACTGCAAATATGATGAATACATAATATCCTTGCTTCAAAATATAGATGTTGAAAAGGAGAAGAAAATATAATCATTATATTCTGAAAATTTTTATTGAAAATAATTACTTTGTATTTGTTGTATTACCCGATGTGATAGGCGCCTGAGTTAGTGTTGTTTATGCCTCCAGTGCCACCACAGTTTCCGATCCCCTGAGGTAAATTCTTTTCCGATGTTCTTTTCTTTTTCTTTTTCTTTTTCCAAAGAGATATGATTTTCTTTATTATATGTCAACGCCATTTTCACTGATTTCTTCTTATTTTTGTTTCTCTGTCTCCACCGTATTCTGGTTTTCATCGGAGATATCAGACACAAACAGTGAATAAGAGAAGAAAGTGTGTCATCAAACTTAGATCAATCAACACATTTTAGTTGAATTCCATTTCTAGCAAATATGAACCAAGTGTTATTAGGTCGGTTCATTTGAGCGTAGTCCTTCGTTCATATGGGCTATTTGAGTGTACCTAATTTCAGTAAAGAATCATTATTTGGCTATTAAAGAGGTTAACATGCATATTCCATTTCATGTTCGTCAACATCTGACTGGCCAAGATGTTCGAGCTAGAGGAATACGGAGTAGTCCGATTTAATTAAAATCATGATGTGATGAGCCTTTAATAAGATGGATCGCGACGAAAAGATCGATGATGATTAATAAATAAATAAACAAATCTTCTGTTCGTTTTGTTTGAGAAAGCAGCGAATCCCGTTTCTCATCATTATTACCTATTTGAAGGCTAGCTAAATCACAAGAAATTACCTATCTTAATAAACAATTATTCAAATCATATAACTTCATCCTAGTTAAATTGAATTTATCTGTATTTTATAATATATATTAATATGATGGTCAAGAAATTAGCTAAACTTATTTGAACAAAAAAGATATTTATACATTATTAAATATATTTTCAGGGTCCACCCCCATGACCTCGATCGCTCACTGGGTCTTTCTTGTCAGATTAGATTTCATAGATGTTGTTGATTATCTTACGGTGATACACGCACACTTAGTTGAGGAAATTCATGGCAGTATTGCGACTTGTAACATTATATATATAATCTATATAGATTCCACTGATTCTTATAACAGTTTACGGATCGGAGGCGACAATGGTTGGAGGGATGGATATTTCAACTAATTGTTTAATATGAACCATGAAAGGTTCCAATTGGAGGCATCTTATGAGGCAGCACTTAAACTGGATTGGCATTTTGTTTGAGGTCATTTTCTACTATTGAAGTTTGATCACGGCACGGAAACCAGAGGGGGCGGGGAATCTAAAAATAACAATGGCCGGCTTTTTCTGAAGCCCGAAGGCAACAACGAGGAGAAGCTGTAGAAAATAATAGTTGTAATTTTCTAGAACACGATCAAGAATAACATTATAAATTGTATCCGCATCTGAAGAAAACTTCATAGTTGCATAACTGATAGAAATTGTATCCATATCTAGAACACAATCAATTATAAAATTTAATCCAATCAAAGGGACATAGAAGTCATCTTTTACCTTCTTTACGTTGTTGTCGAACTGAACAAACTATATTTTTTTCCATGCCATATACAGGAGAAATAATGATTTAAAATTTGCTTGGAGTCTGTACTTATCCTTTTAAACGATATTAAAACACGCAGAGAAGTAATAAAACATTGATAATATTTGAAAATGAAGTTATATGGGAAGCGAACATTTGAATGCGAGAAAAAGTTAAAAGAACAGTCGAATATAAGCTGCAACGTTCATTTGTAGCTTGAGAGTATTCTGACTCCTTATATTTTATATTTCATATTATTAGATGATTACACGTCACAATTGAATGAATTATTAGCATTGTGAATTCTTAAGAACGAAGACAAATGTAGGTATTATATATATATATTTCTTAAAAGCTCTTAATTTGGAAGAATGGAAGGATTGTGATTCACCGTTATGTTCCTTCTCTTGGAATTGTCTGATGGAGAATGAAAAGACGAGTAATATCTGCCTCGTAGATTTGCCTGGATCGAACTTAGACTGCATTCTAAAACACCTTTCCCCATTGGAATTGTGTATGGTGTCGGAAGTATGTAGTATTCTGAGGAAGAGATGCTCAGGTGATGATCTCTGGAAAGAACACATCAGACGAAGATGGGGTCCAGTAGTAGGAGATGTGGTTTATAAGGAATGGAAATGGCATATAACATCAGCAAAAGAGGAGAACTCTTTCAGGATCCATCAAAATAATGGTTCGGTGGGAACTTTTAGTGGGGATTGGCCACGTCTCTCTCTCGGCTCATATTTGGAAGACTCTGAGAAGCTTAGAGGTTCGTTATCAAATTATTTCATGAAAGCTTTATATCTTTCTGTGGAGAATGGAAAGTTCTGGTTCCCAGCTCAAATTTACAAGGTAAGAATGCTTTATTTCCCAGAAAGTAGTCTTGGATTTTTCTTTCAATGAAATTAAAAAAACACTGTTTCTATATATATATAATGCAAAAGGGTTGCAGGGCAATGGAGTATCTTGCTACGACGCCTTACTTAGTTACGAATCTGAAACAGATTCCTTTCAAGCACGGTAAGGAACAACGACTTCCTCTGCCAGGCTACATAAATTGCTCTTATTGATTTTTTTTGAGAATTAATAATTTCATGATTTGGTCTTTTAAGATGAATGGTTATTAACTTTGGGTGCAGAATACAACGTCGGGGTTGGCATGTTTTAAAGAAAAACATAAGGTGGGATGAGGTGAGAGCCACACCAGTTGAAACTCCTCCAAACGCTCTTCACGTCTCTGATGACCTCAGTAACTTGAAACCTGGGGATCACATTGAAATCCAATTCAGAACAGCTAGGCGAACATCTTATGGTATGTACGCTTTGCCTCTAAACCACGTACAATATTTCCTCTGTTAAAAAAAATGATTATAACTGGAATCATTTGGTCGGGAGCCAAGTATAAGAACAAGTCCATGAACCTGTTCTTGTTTCTAGATTCAATTCCTGTGTGATTATATATGTGTGATAGACCAGAGCTTTGATATACCAATTCTCATTCCTTAATCTGTGATGATATGCAGAATGGTGGTATGCTACTATAGGACACCTGGAAACATGTGATGAGCATGAGAATAATTGTGGGTGTGACCAAAGTGGTGAGATTATATATCTACGGTTTTATGCTGTTAATCGTCTGTGACTTAGATTTTATTTTATGAATGGTTGGCGTGGCCATGTGGGTATTAAATATTTAGTTTGTGACAGAAGTGGTGGTGGTGGAGTTTAAGCAGTATCCTCCAACATCTCGAATGAAACGCTTGGTTCTCAGCAAAGACAACGGCCGGGAGCATGATGATGGAAGGGGCCGCTTGTATGGAGGAATTAGGAAGATTCATAGCCAACCACAGATTGACACCTGGAAAAGGCTCTTTCCTCGACATTACTTGCATCCTCCCTCCACTTCCTTCTGTAGGGTGTCTTTGTCTTGTAGAAGAAATTAATTGTCCTAAATATGAGTCGCTTATTGCTGTATCATTAATTAACTTTTTCCAAATATTATCCCTAGTGCAACTTATTAATTAGAGAGTCGAAAATTAATGTAGTGTTTCTTTATAATCTAAATTGGAAATAATTTTCTTTTCCAAACAAGTCAATGAATCAGTCATGTTTTCTTGATTTTGGTGAGGTCATTAGAAGTGAATTATAATTAAAAAATTTAGAGTTTCATCCATCATTATTTTATATCCAACCAAACATAATCAATAATAATATCTACATGTTTTAAAATATAAGAAGTAAATGTTGGGAGGGAGAAGAAAGTATGATGATTTTGAAATTTTTTTTATTGAACATTATTTTTCTGTATTTGTTGTATTAGGAAATCATACTAATATCTTATGAAAAGAAAAAAAGGAAATCATACTAATATTTGATATATAATTCATGGTCGGCGGAAAAAAAAAAAAGGATATTCGCATGGTCAAATTGAATTTTTTCTAAAGCCGTTGAACAACACAGCCAAAAATCAGTTGGGTTGGTGCGATTTATTAGTCCGATAATCTGGATGGGATACGTTTCTTCTGCAGGCGACTTGGCACGTCTTTTGGGAATAAAGAGATCTCAATACTTCGTCTTGACTCTTGACTTCACTTTTTGACTCTTGGTCAAATTCCTTGCTTGTTTAACAAGCCTACCGAAGCAACCTGCCGTACAAATAGGTATATTGAAAAAAAAAAAAATCCCCAAATATCATTGGGCATATTTTTCTCAACTTTTTCCCCAAGGTCGTTTTCAGCCTTAATAATAAATTGAATATAGAAATGACTTCGATGTTTACAAGGTCGTACAGCACATCCACGAGGCGAACAATGATTACAATTACATTGATGATTAACGCAAAATGCTATAAAAAACATAAATTAAGTTCAAAATTACTATTTCAATTTCATAATTATACTTTTTAATTACTGAGTTTAAGTTACCAAAACCTCATTAGAGAATTATGAACACCAAAAGTATAAATTTCAGGCCAAAATTTAGCATTGAGAAGAACGATTGCTGGAGTTTCCGACTCTTGTCCTGCCATTTAAACTAATAAAATATCATCACATCAAGTTAGCTGAAAATGAGGAAGGAAGAAACAGAACGTCCCTTGTCATTTTTTGACATCTTCATCCTGATTGCCCCAGAAAAAAACAACTGAAAAAAGCGACACTATTATGGTCCCAAAAAAACAGTGATCAAGATGATGAATATGGAAAGCAGATGCAAAATTTGTCTGTCGGATTTGCCAAACTCAGTGTTGGAATGCATCTAATCGGAACATCTCTCTCCTTCTGAACTATACATGCAAAGTATCAAAGCTCTGCACTTTCCCAAGGGACAAATTAAATGCAGAACTGAGCATTTATGGGGAAGAATGCTGAGACAGAAATGGAAAAAGCTCGTAGCTTGAGGAAGGCGGGTGCTAAATCCAGAAGAAACAGATTGGAAATATCAGGGGCGTTTAAAAGTGATCGGCCCATCATAAGCACTCTCGGGTCGAGTTCAAGAAATATTTCACAATGGACTGATGCTTCATTCCCAGATGATTCTGTCACGGATCTGTGTATCTCACTCGAGATTGGCTTGCTTTGGTTTCCTGCCCAGCCCTATGACGAATGTGTAATAATGGTTTTAGACCCCTAACGTCAATTCATTTAATGGCTCTGTAAAATATTAATTGAAATTACGCGTCTCTATGTGCAAAGATGGGACGATATTGCAGAATTGGCATGATGCCACGCTGAGTTATGACTTGCGAACTGACACATTGATGTAAAACACACTCACAAGCACTTGGGCTAATGTAAACAGAGGAGGTTATAAGGAGAATGATAAAAACAGAGAGAAATTATGAGGAAGAGAGTTGCAGAAACAGAGAAGGGATGCAAGGAGAAACAGAGAGAGAGAAGGGAGAAGTGACCAGAACGGAGGGGAAGAGAACAGAAATTGAAGGGAGAATGAGAAAATGGGCCGGAATGTCAAAGTAGAAAGAGATCACAAAGCCCAATAAAATTTTATTTATCAAATTCTACAGTACATGTGCGACCATCGATATCAGAACCAAAATTAAATTTGATCCCCTCGAGTAGAAGGAAACTCAATGGCAAGTTACCAATGAAATATAGGAACAAGGTCAAATTTCGTAGATGGAAACTCAACGACAAGTTACCAAGAAAGTATAAAAACAAAATTAAATTTGTTTTTCCTTAATTAGAAGAAAACTTACAAAAATATAATTAAGTTGTTTTTATGGGTTTCTTTTTTCAAAATATATATACGTCAGCAGCGTATGTACGTAGCATATAGGAATCAAGCTGTAAAATCAGCATTTCTCGGAAGATGACGATATAGACTCTTCATGGCTTGGAGGAAAAAGGGAGGAAATATCTGATGGGATAAAGGAAGGGCCCCAGGCCCAGCTGTTGGCAACTGATATGGTTCGTGAATCCCTGCAATTAATAACTGGATGATGTCGTCAAAAGTTCACACGTCCTTCCCTACACTGCCACATCCGTATGGCCCTCACGCCTCAGTCCTCCCCCCAATTATTAATTGCAACGAAAATATCTCACACACTTGGCCGCCCCTTTGATAAATATCTTCTGGTGTCAACCCCTTTAAGCAGCCGATGCAATTTAAAGTGACAAAAGTCCATATATATTTGAGTCTGAATTCAGATTAAGTTTGTTTATCCAGAATTTCGTGATTAACTTTGAAAAAGCAAGTCATATACTCCTAATTTAGAAAGCCACCTGACACGCAACAAAATGAAAAATGGCCGGCTTGAAATTAACTGTAAGTTGCTTGCAGATGAAAGTCATTCTTTTTTATATTACCTTTTTAGAAATGATTTTGTAATATGACAATGACTTATATTTGTTCACCTAAATATGCATGTGCAGAAAAGCACCTCCGTTCTTACAGTAATTATATATGACTCAACTCATCATAATTTATAGAAAATGTATTTAAAGATTGCCCACAAAGATCCTTATGTTAGTAGCAAATTTTAAATTTATAACCTTAGGTTATGAGCTAATTTTTTCCCGACTGAACCAACTTTGTTGGTAGCTCATCACGTGTTTGCTTGCAATATGGATAACCTAATAAAGAAACGGAGCACAATAATGACGTTAGGTTTCCCACTCGACCCATTCTGTGTTTCTCCCAATTACTTGGTTCTTCCGCCGTAATATGAACAAATCACAACATGAAATTATATATATATATATAGATATCGTCAGAATCAGATGGTACAAGAGTGGATAGTTCTCTATTTGTTAACAATAACGCGGAACGCAATAAACAGGCAACGCATGGAATGAAGGTGTTTGCAAAGTGTGGCAAGCTTTCCAAGGGAAGATTGGTTCATGAAGTGGAAGTGGTTTACGTGTTGCTTGTTTTTTTAAAACTAATTTGCCTTCTGGGTCCCAACACAGGCGATCCGATATGGTCATGGCACCAAAGCAACTGCCCTGGGTAAAATAAATGCAGAAGAACATACAAATGCAATGGAACTGTTCCACAAGAAGCCGGCCCCTCAGCCCAACTGCAAAAAGATATTAATAAAAAAAAGTTTAAATCGAATAACGCCTCGATGGATAAACTGCCCAATCAATGTCTTCCTCAAACCTACTTTTCCCGAAGACATATCTGACACGGCTCACTTTTATGGACTATGAATATTTAACACGTAGGAAAAATGGTGATCCCACGACGCGGATAATGCGTACGATCGTCAATTGTATGAATATATTAAGGATATATGTTTGCATTACCTGAGCAGCAAACTCTAGATCATTGGCAAGATTAATGTTTTTAATTGCTCATAAACATCAGAAGAAGTTGATTTTTTGAGCATCTTTCATATATAACCTAATAACGACTGAAATTCTAGAAGAAGTTTCACTGTCACTTCTCCGCGAGGAAATCGAGCACAGTTAAGAGGGGAAAGCGACGTGGGAGTCGGGAAACGAAAGGGAAGGCCACTCGAAATTGGAATCGTCATCTTATGATGGATAGACACGAGGACAAGGCATGGCGTGGCACTAACGCAAACGGAGTAATCAATGTTCGGCTATACGAGTTGACATTATTTACCCCAATTTCAAGGGTCATTGACTCTTAGTTGGAGTGTCTAGGATTTTTTTTTATTTTTTTTATAAAACGAAATAAATTTTTATATTTATAAAATCATACTCCCTCTGTTTCTTATTATAAGAAACAAATAACTGAATTGTGCTTATAAAAACAGTTAAAATTAATTAAGAATAATTAATGTGTAAAAGTATAAATTTTTTCTTAAAAATACCCTCATTAATAAGGAAAGAGAGTATGAGGGAGAACAATTAAATTATTAAAAGAAAGAGAAGTGGGAGGGGAAGAGAGTGTGGTTAAAATAATAAATATGGATAAAATAAAAATCAACAAAAAAAATAAAATAACTTTTAATAAATTTGATTTTTATCCAGACACCTGTTTGATCTTTCAACGTTGATGGCTTGGGCCCATTGGGGGGTTGAAGTTTGGTGGGAGTTCGGCAAAATAACTGGTAAAATTTTTATGGCATTATGACAAGTCATGTCGAACCTCACCAAAAAGTATCCTTCTTCCCTTGAAACACCCCCTCAAGATCCATCCTTCCGATATCTATCTCTTTCTTTCTTCTCCTCGCTACACATAGATCAGTCCACACGGATTACGCGTTTTCACGCGACGTGAGCTGTGAGGGATGGATATGTGGATAGACTGTAAATGAATTCGGGGGGACCCGCTTGGTCTATCTTCTCCTCGTCATCTTCAATTTAAATCGATCTCTGCCTCTCTCTGTTCGTGCCAAGCTTTTTTCGTTGCGTTTTGAGATTCAGAGTTCAGACGCTAAAATTGCCATCCAACTCAAACCCGCCTCTTAGATTAGACCATAGGTTCCTATTCCCAGATTCATTTCGGGCGTTTTGGTTTTGATTCTCTCGGTGTCTTTTTCTTTTGGGGCTGTGATCTCACCAAACAACGCTTGGGCTCAATTTCTTCTCTCCTCAGTGAACATCCAGTGACAGCTGCATCGCACTGCCCGCTTATTTTTGTGGGGGAATTCACTGTACGGTGATGCGAATGGGCAAATGGCAACTATGAACCATCCTTGATCTTTGTTCTTTGAACGATTTGGAACTGCTTTTTACTACCAGCTTCCAGAGCTTGTTGTCTGCTGGCCCTACAAAACTACTACTCATAAATCATTTTATTAAAGCACTAAGCGGCAATTGTCTTCCGTAGGTGGATTTTAGTTCTTTTTGTTGTTCCCGTTTTCACTCGTTGCGGCCGTTGCGTTGTTGTTGTGTCTTGAAACCCAGCTTTGGTTATTATCTTCTTACAATGTTTTGCTTCCTAATATCCTTTCTCTCCTTCCTCATCCTTTCCAAGTCCTTTACCAGTAAGTGTCTCTCGATTGGATCTTGGTTGAACCTGTTGAGTTCATCAATTTTTAGGATTAAAAAAAGCAGCATCAGTTTCAGTTTCTATGAGGTCCCCCTATCCATGCCATTGAAGAAGAAGAAGACTTCAGAATCAAAGCTGGATGATGAAGGTGAGGGAGGCAAGATTTCGCTCTTGGATTTGCCTGATCTGCCACTGGAGAGTATCCTTGAACGACTTTCACCAGCCGAGTTGTGCGGTATGGCCACGGTGTGCAGGTCTCTCAGAGATAGATGTCAGAGTGAATATTTGTGGGAGAAACTCATGAAGAAGAAATGGGGTAAAGTAATTGGTGATTCTGCTTATCAGCAATGGCAATGCCACGTAGCTTCCAGAAACACACAAATCCACCAACAGAATCAGAAAGGTCTACTTAGTTCATGTTCATGGATTAAAACGAAATCCCAAAATGGTGGCCAAGAAAGGAGTCATTCTGTCATGGCCTTGTGTATTTCTCTTACAAATGGCAAGTTCTGGTTCCCAGCTCAAGTCTATAACCGCGAGGTAATTGACTGCACAAAATCTTCATAATACTTTCACAAGTTGCATTAAGTTTCACCGATACAATCCCTGCTTTGTGGATTCTCTTTAATTGTTGCTCACTAAAATTACTGTATTTTTTTCAGAATGGTCATGCTGGGTTCATGCTATCTTGTTATGATGCCCAACTTTGTTATGACTCTGGAACTGACACCTTTCAGGCAAGGTAAGAGACTAAGCTTTGAGAAACATGCATAAACCCGATTCTTCGTGCCTGAGCTTAAAATGAGAATGCTTTGTGCAGGTACTCTCCTCATGGCCGATGGGCAGTTGAGGAAAATATACCATGGGAAAGACTGAGAATTCCACCCGTTGACATTTCTCCTCATGTTCTTTATACCTCTGACTGTTTAGCTGAATTGAGGCCTGGAGATCATATCGAGATTCAGTGGAGAAGAAACAGAGAATTTCCTTATGGTATCTTTCATTACTCTTGCGCTTTTGACAGGCTTTGCTGCTATCTCCGGTCCATGGGTCCACAGTAGTCTTTTCATTATGTATCACTTGAAACGCATATTAGCATCAATTTGGTCAAGATATGTATTCCATTATATGCTTCTAATACATTTGGAAAAAAAAAAAAAATGTGTCATTGCAGGCTGGTGGTATGGTGTTGTTGGTCACTTGAAATCATGCGCAGAGCATGGGAATCACTGCTGCTGTCACCTGAGTGGTAAGAGAATCACTTGTACCATTTAATTAAGAGAGCAAAAATATGTTTGGTTTCCATGTTCTGTGATCTGTACAAAATCTTCTGGGGTTATAAAATCACAAATTGAACTCGAAAAGGTTAATGCTTTATGCATGGAACTTCGCCACTGTCAAAACTAAAACAGGATCGTAGTAAATTAAATTCACCTGGTTAAAACTGTTGATTCTATATGATTGGAGGTGCACTAAATTATAATATGCATTCAGGATACGACATTTGTTATGTTAATGAAATAATTGATTACCAAAAACCTATCCCTTTTGATAATGCACATTACATTCTGCAGTGCATGACATGTAGTTACAGATTGGTTTGTGGTAGCCTGTGACTCTATAAAAGGACATAGGCTAGAGATTGAAATGCATCTATACACCTCTCTTTAAATTCAAAGCTGCAATTTTATTACCTGACCAAAGAGTGGTGTGGATAACAGATACGGTGATATTGGAGTTTAAGCAGTACAACCCTGGGTCCCGATGGAGAGAGACAGTGATAAACAGGAAGAACCACAAAGAAGAAGGCAATGATGTGGATGGTTTTTACGGGGGAATAAGGAAGCTGCACGATGAGGACGAGATTGCAAGATGGACCAACCTCTGGCCAACCAGAACTGTGGAATAGATGACAATAACATAGCATGCCTCGTACCGATGATGCTTTACAACTCTGTAAATTTCCTAGAAGGTGGAAGGCATTGTTCAATGATGTCCTGTGCATAAGTCATACATAGACTTCATAATTTTGGAATAGGATTTATAGAGTGCAAACATAGCAACATATGTACCATCACTGTGACATAAAAGATTAGTGCGTGTGCATGTATATGTTACTCATGGTCGCTTATCCTTTTTTGTAATGAATGCCTTTTCCTACGCAGGCAATTCTGTTTCTATCTTGTTCTGTTTTTTACTTTTTTTTTTTTACCAGTCTATTTCTAACTTGTTCAGTTGAAAGAAGTCGAAGAACATGACAAATTCATCGATATTCAAGACTTGATCGGTTTTCATGTTAGAGGATTTCTGGGCCTTAGTGAACCTTGTCTGTGATGTGAGCTAAATTGTAGGCTCAGTGCATCGCATGAGGTCTGAAATAAATTTCATAGGTTTTATATATATGTTGACCGTTGACTCATGATCATGTGATGGTCCGAAGGAACCGGCTCTTATCCTTCTCAAAATGAATTTAATTTCAACCTACGAAGAATAGGACGAAGGTAGGTAAAGGTCACCAAGTCGGCGAACAGACGCAACTCTGCTATTTCTACAAATCATTATTTATAGAATTAGAAGTTTTTTATTTATGTTTAAAATCAAAATTAAATATAAGGTAATATTAATAACTTTATACAAATTAAGAAATTCAACTGAAGCTAGTCAATACTTATAAAAATTCAAACTTGCATTTAATGGTGTGATAACAGTAGGAAAGAGAAATAAACTAAACATTGAAATATCAATTCAGTCAACCTCCAATACATCATTTCATATCCTATTATAAACCTACCCTTCTCATTATTTACCTAATTATCCTTACTATTACTATTACCACATATCATGATGTTTATTAATTAACATTTACCTTTTTTTTTTGCCAATATTATGATTCACGAGAGAGAACATTTACGACATGCACACCGATAACAAAGATGGTCGGCTATATTATCCCGACAAAGATAAAATTAGTTTCACTGTTGTAAAGATGTGCTTCTTGTTTTGTGTGACTTCTTTTCTTTTTTATTTTCGTAATCCATTTCTTAACTGGCCATTTTATAAAATTTCAAAACCCGTAAAAGAAAAATCATGTTTCAATATTTATTTACTAAGTTTTATAATATAACAAAAATGTTTTCAAAATTATAAATTTATTTTAAAAACTACTTTTCAATAAAAATTCTTATCCAAATCACTGGATCCTCACATTACTGATGTACTAATTTGTTTCATTTATTAAACGCAAGATTATAAGCCATTTATCGGCCCAAAAAAAAAAGAGATTATAAGCCATTTACTACTACAATGACAAGGGTTAAAATATGAGGGACAGATTATGGCAAGAAAAACCACCAAAGAAAGAAGAGGAACATGAGAGGCCGCTGTAAGAGAATCATGATACTTAATATAAGAGTTAATTTGTATTTTAGTTTGACTTTAAATATAAAATTCTAATTTATTTGTCTATCATATTTATTCATTTTTTCAAGATATTCCTTATAATAATTATATATGTTAAATATTTCATAAAATGACGCTTGATTAGTAAGGTTATTTTAAAAAAGATAATACATATTTATTATAAATAATTAATTTAACTAATTTTTTTTATATATTTAAATTTGTCAACTAGCTTTTATATTAAGGATAAAAAAATATTATCTCTACTTATGAATAAAAGCCACGATACTTGAAAGTAGAAACTGTTTCTTTTAATTAATATCATACTTCTTAGAATTAAAAATGCTGAGAAGAATGGTTCCGCTTCACCAGTCACCACCATACAACATTGCAATTTTTTTTTGCAAGCAGTTTTTTATCTTGAACCACAGGCCTTTATCAAATAAGAAGAATGGCTTTCTGTGAGATGAACAATGAAAAAACTAGAGTCATTGTAACGGTGAGGTGAAAATAATCTAAAGATTTTACAATTAGGATCGGAGGTGGGATTGAAAAAAATGACTCGGCGTTAATGGAATATATACACGAATCTGAAATATACGAAAAAAATAAATAAAAGGAAGAGATCAAACCATAGAAAAGGGTGCGAGAAAAACAACCCAGAGATTCAGGCAATTCACGCGTCAAAGGCCATTGCTTCTGCTTCACTGAGAAGATGAACGGTGGCCCCTCTGGTTTTAGTGCGTACTCTCTCCCTCCCCCTCTCTCTAACCCAATAATCAGTTGGGCGTGCTTACTGGAAATAATTTCTCTCGATTCATAATCAAAAGCTTAGTCGTCTGTGTTTGTTACAGCTAATGCTCCCATCACAAGGACTTTTATTATCGCCTCAGCGCTTTTTACTATCTTCTTTGGGATCCAAGGTCGTTTTAACAGACTGGGATTGTCTTATCAGGTGATCTTCCCAATTTGTTCGATCTATTTTTATTTCCTCTGCTTAAGTATCTGGTATCAAATAAATTCACCAATAGATGTCAATGCAATTGTACATTCGAATCGATAGTTTTCATCTGCATTAGGTTATTAAACTGAACTGGCCGTTGGGCATTTCGATATGAAATTTGCGGTCGACGCCCGAGGATTATTAGTCCTTAAATGTACAGTTTAGTTTCTACTTCGATTTCTTTTAAAATGGGTCTCTGATACTTTTTGCTACCATTATTCAGGTTCCTGGCATGCTAATTGTCAATTTGTGATGCTAAGGTCATACAATTGGTCTGATATAATTTTCATTTGGTATAAAATCAGAGCTTTATTAGTAGACTCCGTTTTCCTTATAAGTTGTTGTTAAGATCTTACTAGCAATGAACAAGTCTGGAAGAAGAATATTTACAAAGAATTATCTGACTGTTGTTAACTGCCAATAAAAATGAAAGGATTAAAAGACTTGTGCACCTCATACAACTTCTGCGTACTCTTACCGTATACTGCCCTCTTCCTGCCAGGACATATTTGGAAAGCTTCGCCTCTGGAAATTGATTGTGTCCATATTTGCTTTTTCATCAACTCCAGAGTTGATGTTTGGACTGTTTCTGCTATACTATTTCAGGGTCTTCGAGAGACAGATAGGTTCCAATAAATATTCAGTAAGTCAGTTGTAAGTTTATATTCAAGAATTTTTGGGCAATCTTCTAATATATTTCCAGGACCAAGTTTGGCTTGATCAGAGGTTGATGAGTGGATTAGCATATGTTTAGTTAAGGCTGATGCCCTTTGCTGAACCATTTTTATGTTGCTACTGTCCTGCCATTGTTACCTCCCCCAAATAGTCATTTGTCTAGCACCATCATTTGGTCGTTAGATCTCAAAAATAGCTAGTGTTCTATCATCAACGTTTGCATTTTGTGTGATTCATTTCAATGCCATGTTCCCCACAAGCAACCTGCCTGGGTCTATTTTGTCTTTCTTTTCAGGTGCCTTACATTATTTTTATCAACAGTTGCCCTCTACACCCTGTATATTATTTTGAAGCATCTCCACTCCTTATGCAGGTCTTTATCACATTCTCCATATTAATCTCACTACTGTTTGAGGTGTTTTCTATAGCAATCCTAAGAGGTATTCATTCTCAATATTATACTTTTATCTTACCTTTCAACTCCAGAACCCTGTTTGATTGATCTGTTTTCTAATACATGTTTTAATGATAGCTTCTGCTTCATATTTTGTTCCTGCATGGTACTTATGTTCATCTGCTTAGTTTCCTTCTTGACAGTTGATGTTTCTTCTTTTCTTTCATAAGATGCTTTCCCAGCAACAAAATTACAAGTGGGACTCGGTCATGGCAGTAAATGGACATAAGGATGTTTGACGTAGTGCAAGATGACCTATGAATTTTTCATTAATTCCTGAATTTATCATTCCATGATCTTGTCTTCTCCCTATTATTTTGTCCGTTATTCACCGAAAGAAAGAACCACTTTCATGATGACAAAAAAAAAAAAAATTTGGGTAATTGACTGGGGAAGCAAACAAAAAAATTAATTCATCTCAAAATGTTGGTGGATGGGACAGGAAGCTGAGGAAGAGAAGTTTTGAGAGAAGTGAGAACAAGTACATTTTATAGAGATATAGATGAGTGTCTTGTGTTTTGAGATGTTAACTTCAGGTTGTTCTTTTAGCTGTTCAATTATATTGGGCGACTCAGATTGCAATGTAAGGAGGTATAGACAAAAGTGGATGGAGGGAATCCATTAGCATGAGCAGGTTCGTTTGGTAAAATCTAAACAGTAGATCCTGATGGTTAGAATGAAACTTCTGTACAGTTTAGAAAACTCAAGAATTCAAGGTTATCTCTTTAGTGTTTTTTAGCTATAGTCTTGCCTTGTGGCATGCTGAATGATATGAGCGTGTCATGCGTAGTTCTTTCAAGGGCCCGATGGGCACAATTATTATGTGAGAATTTGATAGAACAGTTCACATCATGAAGCCTTTGAATACTCTTTTAAATTTGAATATTTAGGACTGCAGTTAAGAGACTTTATAATGTGATTAATCAATTCATGTTGTTTTTTGCACAATGCTACAAAATAGTTTATGTTTCTAAAATTCTTATTGTCCAAGTGTTTTCACTCTTTGCAGATCCTGCAGCAATCTTAGTCACCCCTGGACCTTATGGTCTTATATTTGCTTCATTCGTACCCTTTTTCTTTGACATTCCAGTTTCAACACGGTTTCGTGTAGCTGGTTTCCACTTCTCTGATAAATCATTCATATATTTAGCTGGTGTACAGGTAAGTTACAGCTGAGTATGTGTGAATTGTCTTTTTTTTTTTTAAACAGCAGATACATATTTCATGAACAGTCAACTGCTAAAGCTAGTTAATCATTTTGCAGCTTCTTTTATCATCATGGAAAAGGTCTCTTTTGCCAGGGATGTGTGGCATCCTTGCTGGTTCCTTGTACCGTTTAAATGTCTTCTACATACGCAAAGCAAAGGTAATTTTCAGTCGGAAGATTGGGGTATATTTTAAAAGGGATCAAAATCTTGTGGCGCTGCATCTATGATGATATTCAAATCAGTTCCAGAAAGAGAGAGAGAGAGTAATGATAATCAAAGACTGCAAATATAGATTGTTATGATGCAATTATTTGATCATCTGGCAGTTATTGTAATTAATACATGATTGTGTTTTGACATTCTGCATTACAGTTCCCAGAGTTTATAGCCTCCTTCTTTTCAAGGATTTCCTTGCCATCCATGGGAAGTCCACGTTCAGCATCAACAAGGAATGTAGTGGGAAACATGCCATCCTATCCTGCTCGTCAGATGGAGGTTAGTTTTATTTTGTGCTCACAACTGTTTCACTACTTTGGTTGCATTATAATTATGATATGAATAACTCAATCAGTTTTTATGGGGCCAATATGTTAACAATTTGGGCTATTTTATGCTTGATGCTGTTAATATCCCTAGTGGTCTTCATGACAACACCTACTAAAAAATTTATGTAGTTACTTTCCTGTTTCTCTTGAATCTTTAATCCAGGCTGCAATTATCACAATGGCTGCAGTAAAATTATCTATATCTCATTTTATTGTTTGAAAAAGAATTGATAGAAGCAGGTCAGCTGTTGTTAGCTTAGCAATCTGATTCATTTCTTTCTTTCTTTTTTTTTTGGGTTGAAAACAAGGTCGGGCAGGGGGAGAAAGAATGAAATAAAAGAAATCTGGCTTTATTTCGTTTTGGGGTTATGAAGTGTGTGATTTCGCATAGGTGCCATTAAGCATTTTGGAGTATCCCTGAAAGCTTGGAAGGCTGTTTCCGGCCATTGGTTTGCTACTGAACATTTCGGAGCTGTGCACAGATTATTAAATCAAAATTTCCATCTCGTAAAAACTTGTATTTTAGTAATACATAGTTGAGAACAGTAGCCATAAAATAGAAACATTAATTGGTCCATGTTTAGGATGAATTATATGGAATCTACATCATTCTGGGTAGCTGGCAACTAAATTATGTTGGCTTACTTGAGAACTATCTGTTTGTTGCAGAGGAACTACCCTGCTCCAGTGCAGTCTGTCCCAGTACCATCGGAGGACTCCATCTCTACACTTGTCTCTATGGGCTTTGATAGGGATTCTGCTAGACAGGCACTGGTGCAGGCCAGGAACGATGTTAATGTGGCTACGAACATCCTGCTGGAGGCACAATCGCACCAATAAAGTCATGTATTAATGAGAGCCTAATTGTTTTTATATTTACATATGGAAGCCACAGCATGAGATGAAGTCCTGGAGGGTCGCTGATTCTAATGTGAGGATGGTCATGGTTACGGTAACTTCAGACATTTTTTGATACCATCCTTAACTAGGGTTCCTCTTTTCCTTTCCCCCTCTCCTGTTCAAAGTTCACTTTTGTCCCCACCTTTACTTGAATCTTTAGAAACATGTTTCAGGATTGGCATTGTTAAGTGAATGAGAATTAGGAACCTGTACAAATTTCTTATGCCATACGGAAAACAAGCTGTGAATTAGATGGCTGTAGTGACAGGTTCTTGTACGCAGATTGTTCTGGCACATACATGCTTAACATGAAAAACAATCAAGAATGCATCCCATGTGTGGTCCCGGTCAAGTGCACTTTGACATCCCCGCTTTACCCCTCCTTTTTTATTCGTCTCTTTTATGTTTAAAGAGAACATTTTTGTTGCCCTGGCCAGGAGGAAGATGTTCCTCAATATGATAATTACACTTACTGATTCAGCTTCTCTTCAATGGTCAAACAAATGGTTTTCGTCTCTAAAAGGCACATGCCTTGAACTTAAAGAGGGTTTAAGATTCCTCCTGTGATGAGATCTTAAACTAATAGCCTCATCATTTTTAGAAGGTTTTATTACGTTTGTAAGCTGTCTCGCATCAGGGAACTAATTGAACGCTAGTAGTTACTGACTACTGTCCTGCATTCTGGTTATCTGGAAGCGATCATCTGGAGATGAAGTCTTGCTTGAGATAAAAGAATCGTGTGCTCAGCGAGCAACGCTACTCTTTTTGGAGATTAGATTTAGATGTAATAGATTTTAAATATTTATTTAATGGTAAAAAGTTGGAGTAATGCAGAGAATAGAGACTTAGCTTTTATCAGATGATGAACATAAAAATTGCATGATACCCATTTACTGCGTTGAAACCGATTTTCCGGAAATGTACCAGTCTTTAGATCATTGACGGCTCAAAACTCTTAAGACAAATAATTCAACTTGTATCGTGTATTATCTTACTCTTCACACTCGAAGTGAGCGAGCATAAAGATACCATAAACGAGGGGCATGTAGAAATCCCTTCATGCATTAATTAAACCATCAAGCAATCAAGCCCACATGTAGAAAATAAGCCAGCTCATGTAGTTGTATTCACTAAAGATACTGAAACCCCTCAAGTAAAGCAAACAGTTCAAGAAGGCCTCAATCGCTTTCAACTCCGTTGGCTTAGGGAAACCTGAGCAGAATAGGCGTTTTCTGACAACATATTCATCGTTTCCCACCAAAAATATGCAAGGAGTTGGTGGTCATAAAGTTAGATAGGGCTTGCATCCACTCGGCACTTGTGGATCTGAAAGGCTGGGGATATCCAGCTTCCGCAGCTGCATTGTATGCCAAACCAATTGAAGTTTCCCAAGCGGGCGTCACAGTGGGCACAGTTCAACTTCCCCTCCGATGCACCTTCCTCAACTGAATTAAGAAACAAATTTTAAAATTTAGGGGGATCTTAAAGTAAACTTTTTTTTTTTTTTCAAGCTCTGGTAATTAATGAGAGCTCAGCAGAACACTCAAGCGAACCCATCCATATAGCATTCAAGGTAAGTGTCAACATTTTAGTACATGTGCAAACCAAGCACATTTCAAAGTGGATAGAAAAGACCATCCAAAAATTTTAGGTTTTGATCATCCAAAAATGCCAGTTCACACTCATGGGGGGAACTGTAATCAGGTCTTAAGGAAGAGATTTAATTATTTTTAAGTCCGTCAATAACTGAGTAGTATACAATGACAAGTTCTAATGCAAGAAATAACAATTAGTTTATACTACTCACTTGTTATTGAGACTTTTTGATAATTAAATTTTTTTCTTGAATCTCATGATAATTCTCTTTTTCTTTTTGGGGGGGGGGGTGTGTTTAGTTGAATGATTGTTTACCTGCTTTCATCCATTGAAGTGGCTCAATAAATATGGAAGAACACTCATATTCATTGCATTTGTTAAACAGGCTGTCACTTCTCCACTTCTGCCACTCGCTTGATGCATCACCTTCACCTGGAACATGGTCTACAACATGTTCCTTCAATGCAACTACACGCCGACACTTTTTACAGCGATATGTAGGACTATGATTATTTCTGGCTCTTGGAGCTCCTTCTACTTCTGAAGCAACACTAACAGGCATGCCAGGATCAGCTCCAAGTTTAGAACTGTCTATTCTCGCCCCCGAGTTATAATTCTTACCTGAAAGAACATGACAAAAATAACTTTTCATTGGATGACGCAAACTAGAAGTGACCTTTTTAAATTTTGAAGATCAAAGAAGGCAAAAAGATTCGTGACATGAACACCAAAGTATGCACAAAACGGGAACCATCAGAACAGTTGCTGATATTTATTGTCTCGCAAGCACCGCTCTCAGGAGACTTGAACAACCATGACTTCTAAGCTTCCCTTCTACATTAATCCCTCGCCCAGCCCTCTATTTTATCGGATTGGTGAAATTTTGATATTTCTATGTTTGAGGAATAGCCCATCTATCATATGTCATGCTACCACTAAAACCTACAAGGAAGATATGAGATACCAAAACAGCAGGGCAGACAGAATCGAAGCCATACCCAGTACTCTCAAACGAAAGCGCCTGTATATAGAGCTAGAGCGATCTACCTTGAAGCCCATCTCCTCAAACATTTTTAACTGAAGTAGAAGAAGAAAACTTCAAAGAATGTCATATTTCTGATTGGTAGGATGTGTGTGCGTAAAAGAATCTACACCATATATCATGAAGTTTCATTGCACACCTGTTCTAGAAATCCATCATTGGGGCAGACGAATTCACAACTCTGCCTTAATGAATGAAGGGCATCTGCAGGCGCAGGAAAATAATTATAGAAGACATGGATAAAATGACAGCTGAATCTGGGAGACAAAGATACTCGAATACATTCAGCTCAGAAGAGAAATGAAGGACACTGAGGTGTGGGGAAGAGATACTACTATAATCGATAATAGAACAGATGGTGATAAGACAAAACAGCCAATGCATTTTTTCCATCCCTTTTGGTTTGGGAAGGGGTAACGTTTGTTTGGAAAATCTACTGGTTCAGTTGCCAGTTCCTTGAACTGTTGTTTAGCAGGGTAAAGATGCAAGTAGATTTTGTTGTCAAGAATATCTGTTAGTATAATTAAGGCATACTGAAGTAGAAAGCTACTTGCATGTACCAAAACGCATTCCCTGAAGACTTTATACAGCGTAGTGGTTCACACCTTCTTGAGATAGATGTTCAGATCTCATCAGATATGCTGTAATGATTGCTGCACTGTAATGAACACACGCAAAGAAGGATGTAAACCATTAGGTCTAGACAATCCAGAAAAGTGGAAAGGCAGTTCCAACATAAGCCTCTTCTAGACCATTTCTGAAATTAATCAGTATAAAGTCTTTTAAAAAAACAAACTGCAAAAGCCATGTTTGTATGTACTTAAGCATTATTGAAGGGTCATAGAAAAAAGCCTCATAATACATCTAAATTCTTGTGGTCAGAATCAAATAAATTATAACATAAGAATAAAGTTTAACAATTATTTCTCCTCCTTTTAGTTTTTTTGGGAGACAGAAAATAGTTAGGAGTCAATCAAAAAATGATCAGATAACCAGCACCAGAATTTGCGAGAAATATTATACATCTTGAACTCTTATTCACAGTCATAGTCTCAAAATCTTCTGAAGTAGCAATATTAGATAAATTACCAGCTACTTCAGGAGTATATTAACAGTAAGACGGCACAAGTTCCATATTTTCCTAAGTAGCCTTGCGCTGACTTTAATTTAAAACTCATCTTTTGTTCCAAATCATTGAGCAAATGATTTGGAGAACTGACATATGCAACTAGATTTTTATCAAATTCTCAATTATTTTCATCCAGCAAATGGTAGAATCAAGTCAATTAACTGATGTAGCAAATTGAAGAGAATTGGTTATATAATATAAATGATACCTTCTTGATACTCCAGCAAAGCAGTGCACCAGAACAGAACCATCTTTCCTACTTCGATCAATAAAATTAAGGCAAACATCCAAGTAGTCCAACAAATTTTCATTTTCTGTATCCCTCAGAGGGACAGCCATCCTGACCAACTTCAAATCCTTACCTGCATATTCCAACGAGTACAAAAGGTTCGCCGGTGACAACGGACTCCTTGATATATCACCCAAGTCATCATCAGGAGCACCAACATGATCACCACCCACATATACCTTCTTAATTTCCTTCGCCGGGATCGTTAGGCTACTTCGCCATTCGGAAAAGAATGATATTGAAGCAGAGGTAAGAACCGATAAAATATGCGTGATTTCATCGCTACCATTTTGAAGGATTGCCGCAGCGTCACTGATATCACCAATAAATAGTTTCTCTCGGACAAGGTAAGGCATGGCCACAGGGGTTTCCAACACCGTCTCCTACAAGTTTCCGTCGACTTCTTTCGCTGTCAAATGCAATAAAAATAGATATAACTCAGAATGCTAGCCTAAACTGATTGCTCAAAAACTGAAAACAACAAAATTTGAACTCAATAAGTACGACACTATATAAAATATATCGAATTTGACACCGGTATAACGAACTGCTTGCTTCGCCAGCTTTTTATACGATTGACCCCCCAAAATCAAACAGTTTACAAAGCCACGCAATTTTCAATAAAACACTTCGACATAAAATCATAACCTAAAAACAACACCGTCTAGCTCCTCCTTTGAAAAAGAGAAGGAAAAAAAATCTCGCCAACTAAACGGTTGAATACGAGAGAAACACAACAAAAGCCCGCCATCATAGAAAATGAGAGAACAAAATCATAATCCAGAGTGAAATACCATAGAATTATAATCGAGAAACAAAACAGTACATGAACTATTCGTTGCACAACAAATCGATGAAATAATCATGAAACCTGAAGAATCGAAAATTTCCGGGGGACGAAATGATTGATCTTTCATTAATTCATTCTAGTTGCACTGCTGACTGCTTAGGCTGAAGCAATCGTCAGAACTCAATACCTGCCTGGCGCTTAAATAGCGCTACGCACGTATAAAAACTGCAAAGGACAGCGTTGGCACGTGCCGCTTGGGCCTACGGGCTCTGGGGTTGGGGGTTTATATGTGAGGGCGGCTAGCAGCTAGCCCCTTTTGGTTCTGGATGTGGGCCCACTATGCACTTTTCGGTAATTCCAAATGCTAATCCTTTGCTACGTGGAAATATCGAGTCCTTTGGTGAGATTGATCGAGTGCGTCCTATTCGACCTTCACTTAACATTTAATTTTAATTAGTTCGTATCTGGGACGTTCACGTTATAGTGACATTAATTATGATGTTGATATTGGTATGTGATGAACAAACACAGTGTAATGAAGCAGTCGGCAAGAGGCGGACGGATTAGAAGCGATTTGCTAAAAGCAACAAGGCAAACCAATGAGAAATCCAATATTGGGTAATGAATTTGATCGTAGCACAGCGAGATAGGAGGACTCGTCACAGCAAGATCGTCGCCAGGTGGTGGTGGTGGTACGCCGGGTGGTCACAAGCTGTGCATGACGGGTCATTGTGGGAGAGGCACCCTATGACATGTGGGCACGTGGCAGTCCATGTCAATGAGCACCCCAATTCTGAGCAGTTCATCCAATCCGGTTGAGCCGCGTGTCAGACACGTCATAAAGTAACGTGTTTACACACTTCGTTGTAAGGTAATTGGTGCACCCGTCTGGGGCCTACACGCCTGCATGTTGCCTCCTGTCGTTATCGAGCAATCAGCATCAGGCAACTGATAAATGATAATGATATACCTCCAATGATGACGGAGGTAAGTGTCCAATGTTCATTAGATTTGGCCTTTCGTCATCCCTTGGGAGGCTTGGAAATCCATCTACGCCACTTTCTTTTCATCGTCCCATTTATGACTCTCACTGTGCCTGGGTTTGTCCTCACATACGCATGCTTATATATATCCTATGAAGCTGACATTCTTATCCTGATACTATCGCTAGATTTAGGTGCTGTTTGGATGTCCCTCCAAACCCAAATCATAGTTTGGAGAAGAAACCAACTAAATAGGGACAGAAAATGTGAAACCATGATTTGGGGTCAAACCATGGTTTTGAACCCCAAAACCAAGGTTTCGACAGAAGTGGTTTGAAATTGCTTCTGGTTCAAATTTTCCAAATATTGGTGTGGGCCCAACAGCATATGACAAAGCAGCTCCCATAATTGATGCCTCTCTTCATTCCACACTATTTAATCTTATAATTTATAAATATATATATACATATTAATTATTTATTAGTTATATTATCTTATATATTATTAATTATGTTAGTAAAAATTATTTTATTAACAATTTTATTTCTTCAAATCAAAATATATTATAAAATCTATCCCTTATATAATTATAATATTAATTTATGCCCTTTTTAGTAAATTGTACATATAAAAAGTGCTTCTGGTAACAACTATCCAAACACTCTCACTTCTCAGAATCACTTTTTCATAAAATCTATTCTTTCCAGAATTTATTTTCCAGAAGCTATTCTTCAAACCATGGTTTGGTTTTATCTAAACACACCCTTATAAGCTTTTGTCAATTGTTGGTATGAACACGAAGAACATAAATAGCTGAACTAAAGATATGTAACCATGGTACCGAAGATTATTCTTTTATATAAATGTAAATCCTGATGGATAACCTTATTACAGCCCAGACCCAGATATAGTTGCTTGAACATATTCGGGAATACGATTTTGATACAAGTATTCGTTTCTTTTTTTTTTGTGACGGAAAAAAAGAGGCTGGAGAGAAATAATGGCAGTTAACGTTTGCATAAAGGGACGGAAGGAATTTGATTCGAACAATTGTGGCACGAAATGCTGCTCAGGGGAAAAAGAAGGTGTTGGGGTTGACATGGGAATGCGGGTTCCATTTCGCTGAACGGAGTCAAAACAATGAAAGGACGTTCGATAGCTTTTTCTCTTTACTCTCAAAATGAGCGATGCCAGTGCCATATGCTGTCAAATCTCCTCCCATACAACACTATTTTATATTATAACGGCTGAATATTATTAGCTCATAAATTATAAATGTAACGCCTTGACAGGGTCACAAGGAAAAGCGAGTTGAAGCTTTTTTGGGAGTTGAGGACTGCAATTGACAGCCATTAGGCATTAGCTATGCTTTTTGCAAGGGGTCCTTTTTTTTTTTTTTTTGGGGGGGGGGGTGTTTGATTTGATTATTCGCAAAAGGAAAGCGGATGTTCTTGCCTTGCTGATCTTGGAGGAATTGAACAAGCAGCCAAGTGTACGCCACTAAAATAAATAGCAGCCACTCGACCTTCACAGTACTCCACAGGTAACGAATTATTGTTACCTTACTGATCAAGACTTCACAAGAAGACAAGCGAACAGCTCCAATAAAATAGATAGTGTCCACACCTCGTTCACTGTGATACCTTTTTTTATTTTAAATATGAATAACGAATAAATGTAATTTTGCATGTCTAGCCCCAAAAAAACAAAAGTAATTTTGCCTGTAACTTATGACAATTTACAACTGAGTAATCAGCCTATAGTCTGCAAAACCTAGAAATTCTCTCTGAAAATTCAATTACAAAGTAACCTCAGTATACAATGAGGGTTAGTGTTAGCATGTATTATCATCCTTGGTGTAAACAGGGATCTGCCAGTTTTTAGTGTTCTTCTTGGGGTCATCAGTAAGGCTAAGATCTGTCTCATCTTCCTTGTATGTTTTTATGAACGTTTTAGCACCCATCAGGACAAGCCTCTCGACCATGAATAGCTGGTAATTGTTCTCGATCAGGGGATCCAGTATGTGGCTATAGTTTGATGAATATGCCAGTTTATACCTGCAAAAATGATTCATCATCAAGATAAACTATCAGGCTTTGGTAAAAGAAATTTAAAATTGTCGATTTGTTTTCTTTAGGCCATCAAGACATAAGTTTCTTTCCCCCAAAAAAAAAAGAAAAGAAAAGAAAAGAAAATGTTCCTTCATTTAATAAAATAATACGAATTAGGTTTTGATCAAGTAACTTTATGTAAGAGCCAAGCCACTTGATAAGATGCAGATGCATGCTACAAACGCATGTGGTAATGCTGCAACCTCAGAAGAATCATTTAACCAGAACAAAAGGCCACGAGAATGAACAAAACTGCTTAGGCAACCGACCTTGGTAACATTAAGCAGTAAATATATCTATAACATATATGTAACCTACAAAATCAACTCCATCCACCAACAAACAAATTCAAACTTCCACCACATGGGGATGATATGCACAGCCGACCTCAAATATGCTGAACGGATTTTCAAACAAGACCACAAGATGCAAGAGAACAAAATATGAGAAGCAAAATTAACATGTTATAATTTATTTTGCTTCCTTAATTTCATTAAGTAATATGAACTAGTTATAGCCAGATCCTTCAAAATAAAATTGGTTTTAAATTCGATTAGAAGGAGATGATGGAATCTAATTTCATATACAAGATAACTTCCATAATTTCAACTTTTCAGGACCCCATATGAAAATGAGTATGACTACCTGACAGAAAGTGGTGAAAAAAATCCAGGAGTCCTCTCATTCGAAGCAACAAACAAAGTTCTTCCTGCGGGGACCCATTTTGCAATTCTGCAGAGAATAAACTCAGGTCGTGTATCCCTGTCAAGGTGAGGAGTCAGGCTCCTCTCAACCCCAAATCTGTCCTTCCTCGTCTTCAATTTATCACCACGACGGACATGGATGGCATCATAATCTCCAAGGTCTGCTTTGATCTGTGAGCAAGAATATGGTTAAAAACCAATTAGTATTAAAAAGGCACCCTTAGTGTGTAAAGCCCAGGCATTGCATATCCAGCATATAGGTATCAGGGTTACTATAATTTTTGTCATACTGAAACATGCAAAGCCTCATCTACTGGTAACCTAAAATTTTCATTGATTTTGTTCCAAACTGCCATTGTCAAGATTCAAGAATGTGACTCTACCCCCACTACCACTGAAGTTTCCATGAAGCAGGACGTCAAAACGACCAACTACCCATTTAATAGATGACTGACGTAAATTATGTTACCATTAAGTAGCATATTAATGAAACAGAAGCACATGCTCGCAGACTATTACAAAAGTAGGTATTATTAAGCCACATTCAATTATGACTCATAATCAACTAAACAATTAATATCTTCAGTAAAATCATTTCGGACTCAAGCAAATATCCTCTTACTCGTCATTTTGACCCCACCACGTGATGTACGCTGTTTGCATTTCATCATCTCCCTTCTTCCTCTCCCCTTCCTACCCCCACCAACCATCAGAAAGGAAGACAACAAAGGGACGTAGTAAAAGAGAGATTTCATGAGAGGGAGTAAAAATACATCCCAACCATCTGTTTGCAATTAAACAGACGCTCCAAATTGCATGAACCAAAACACACCATTTTGTTAATTCCTGCGAGTTGCAAATGGACTAATGGGATGAACTCTAACCATCTCTTACTGAATTTGCCTCTTACTGAATCCAAACTCATTGTAGTCACTGTCAAAATCAGTTCTTCGATAAAATGTCACAATCATTTTTTAAATGAACAGCTACCAATGATTCAGTGAGAGCATGGTGACAGATTTACCCGAGCTCAGATCCCAAATGTATGATCTCTTAAAGCTCAAAAATGAGTTGGCTTTACTCAATAGGAACCTGCCCCACGCCCCTCCCGTCCTTCCTTCCTTTTCATTTTCTATACAATAAAGGGATCACCTCGATTGAACAGCTTGAATGAGTTAGCAAAAACCTAGATGTGCTCAAAAAAATTAAATGACGAGTATTAAGTAGTGAACATGCCATGAATAGGTTTGCAAGTTTCAAGGTTTGGTTGTTTACTCCTTTTATTCTAACTAACAACCAGGTGCAGAGATTACAGATTTTCATGTGCCTGAAACTGCAAGTGCCAGATCGTACATCTTCCCAGGACATAATTCGTATGGTGTTAACAAAGCAACATTTCCAACTCCAATAATGAAAGATCTAAAAATATCCACGTGATAAATTCGTAATTATTGTAATCTACAAGTTATAGAGTTGAAATCTATTTTACGTACAAATGTGAAATACTGCACGGGAAAATCACCAACTTAAAGGAGAAAACTTAAAGAGAGTACATATCAAATGGACCTTTTCAGCTGCATCTCTAAGCTTCCTTGCCGCCATTGACGGCAAAAATAAATGTGGCAACATTACAGAACTTCGTTTGTTACGGTCCTTGCATTCCATAAACCTGGAAGATCATCACTAGTAACTCAGCCAAAAGAGAAAAATATACAAATGAACTCCTTTTACAAGAAAACATGGCAATATGACCAAAAGCAGAAAAAGCTGAACTAGGAAAGAATCTTCAAGAAGTTCCACTAAGGCCATTATAACGAGTTTAATGAACATTTAATACGTTAAAAACTCCCATATACTAAAAAGTGTCAAGATCATCCATGTGTCCATCAGGTATCACATATAATTGCACTAGGTAGGAATGAAAATTTGCAAATCCTTAATTTTCCCAGGTTAATATTCAAATGCTGTGTTCCTACATACATTGAATGAAAGAAAATTCTGATTCATGTTACATCCAAATATACCCAACTCTCTATCCCATGAGTTAGTTAACCTTGATTCGCGATATGCTCATATAAGAAGCTGTAGTTTATCACTCATAAATCTGATTCTAAGGAGCCATGATGATTAAGAAAAGGAAAAGGTGGGGGGAATGAAGATACATGGTTGGATGATTTACCAAGAAAGAGGGCTGGCTGTCCTGTTTATGAGCAAGAGATTGGAGAACTTGTTATTTTCTTTAAGATCAATGCGGCTGACTCCTTCCACATGACCAGCTCCTTGGGCTCCCAACTTCATACTTGTTAATAGAACCCGATACCACTCTTTTGAATTATCCAAAATTACAGGAACAGTCTCAGATATGAGGTCCATATCATATAAAGTGTCCATGGGACAAGAACTTCCAGCCCAACTACAGTGTAAAATACAGCTGGTCGAGTCAAATGATCTAAGCATTCTCTTATTTAAACTATAAAAATGCGTATACTAGAGGCAAATAAAAGTATAACATTCACATACTTAGACAAGGGTACTGTTCATTTCTTGAACAGAAGTACAAGTTAAAGCAGAAAAGAGCTCCGCCTGTTCTCTTTCTATACCCACTTAACCAGCAGACAAGAAAACTTCAAAGCAACTCACCTTGCCTCTGAACTGGAGGTATTGGACAGATGATGAATCACTTTCTTATTATGCATTGGATTAATACACATCCTTGATGGCATGACAAAAGTTCTGCAGCAAATGTGGTCAAAATAGGTGAGAAACCCACAAACACAAATTCAGCCAGAACAAAGTATATAGAGCAAGTCTAGTTGGTGAACGACGCAGCAGATTGGAAAGTTTAGGTTTTGGAAACTAATGACGCTGCAACACCGTATCAAGATAGAGAACAAGCACTTGACCAGAAGTGTCCAACAAAAATAAATCACGCACTCATGAGATGATCTTAGACTCGCAGATGGATCTGTAATAATTTGGGTAGGACCATGAAATATACACAGACAGACAGACAGATAGATATGGAGAGAGAGTTTTCTTTAATAAGAAGGTTAAGGCGTGGGACTATCTCCTTAAGCACGGGCAGACTTGCCTTGCGTGTCTCTGTCAGTTCAACAGCCAAGTTATATCCTTTCTTATCTGAATTCATTATTGTCGTTAGTATGCATAAGGTTCTCTCACTCCAGGAACAGGTAAGGAAAGGTTAACAGAAGACATACTAAAACCTCTACGATAACTCAATGCGGATAACACAAAGGCATCGATGGAGGTACCTCCGAAGATACATGGCCTCTTCAAGGGCACACCTGAGGCTGGACTCCTGATGACCCAAACCTGCGCAAGTTCCGCAGTGTTTTCCTGGGCAGTCAATTCTAGTGCCCCAGTACAAGTACCTTTCATGGCGCCCCTGTTTCACCTCGTTTTGAAGAGATATTGAGATGAGGAGTGAGGATCCGGTTGTGGAAACCAGAGAGCGAGACAGGAACAATAGCGCGACTGCCGTAATTGCCAGGGCAAGCAGGAGAATTGGAGATCTGAATTTTGGCTTAGCCTTTGGAGTGACGTGAATTGCCATTCCAAGTGACAGAAACGGCAAAAAGATAAAACGTTTCGGCCTGCTGCGCGAGGAATTAAGTACATCATCCAGATCAGCACGAAGAACATGGGGCTGGGCCCATGCTTTACGTGTAATCAAATTATACTTCCATTCCGGAATTCAGGTTATGAGCCAGGAGCTTGTTCCTTCTACGTAGGCCTATAGGTGAAAGTCGATGCTTCTCCTCCACCTGTTTCATGAAAAGATCGGATTCTGTCGAACTGTACCTTCTCTGTAATTCTCAATTATTTTTTCCCAACGCTGTTAATTCTCAATTATTGGACAATATAGATTAATAATTAATTTATATTTCGCATAAAAATTGTTAAATATAATAAAAATGTTTAATTTTTTTAAGAAAAGGCAAAATGATATATTAGAATCATAACAATACTTATATTACCTATTATATCAAATTTTCTAATCATATATAACTATGTGTCCTATTTTTAAAATATTAGCATTTAATAGCATTTAATTATTATAAAGTTGTATAAAAAAAACACATGATTAATAAGTGTGATTAGAAAACTTAAATATGAAATTATTTTTTTATCAAAAACAAAAACCCTAAGAAAGGTGACATCACACTCACTCTTTCGCTGTTCCACCACTTCAGTGTAGATAATGCATTAGTTATGGGAAGCCCATCTCAAAACAGAGCTACGATGGTGGCAGAACCAATTCACCATCGAAGATTCGGTTTGGGACGCAAATGGCAGAGCCTAGACTTTAGAGAAAAATGATTAGAAAATCAGTATTGCCCTTATTCTGGGTTTCTTTTCACAAAAATTATGCTATATATTTAAAAATTAAAACTTACAAAGAGAGAGAGAGGAATTCTATGTACATAGTCAGTTGTAGAAGAGTTATTGACAGTCAGCTGAAACAAGTTTTATGAATGGAGTGGTGCCCTGGGCACATATATGACCTTAATTAACAGTCGTTGAAATCGGATAGTCAGTTCCTGTGTTCAATACTGGTACTTTTACAGGTTGTTTGTAAAGATGGAATAGTATCACCTATGCAATTATGGAAGTGACCACTTTACATCTGATCGCATCTGAATTTTGACCATTTACCATATTTAAATACAATCACGTGCCATCCGTATCAGTTGCTGATAATTAAAATTTTTATGATCCATGACTGAAATTAGTTTCCCCCATTTCATCTGACTCAGCTATTATCGTTTTACCTTGGCTTTGGAAGCAATAAAATGGCCGGAAACAAAGTCCCACCTGAACCACAATCAAAAGAGAGCAGAAATATTGTCAACTATAATGTATTTGTTAGAATCGGAAGGATTTTATTGGTAAGTGGAATGGGTACACAAGCGATAGACCTGAAAACACAACTCAGTTTTGAGCAGTTCCTCCAGTACCAAGTACAATATGTGATCTACATTCCTCTGTACAATCCTCTAACTTTGAGAACTACCAAACGTAAGAGAGTAGGAAAAGAGGTGAAGGATTCTCGTGTGTACAAAAAATTAGGAACAGCGAGCTTAACAATAGCAGATGTTGAAAGTAGGTTCGTCCACTGTAGCTTTTAGCTTGCCCAAACCATCATCGCAATGGAGATTGTGCATTGCTGATGAAGTTTACTCAACAATTTAAATCCAATTTAGATTTTCATCATCAATGACGACAAGGGATCTGTATAATAGCAATCGGGTGTACTCTTATGCCTTGTGAATTGCGCGGGAAGAAGGTCCGTGCAGAAGTCTCACAAATCCTAAGAAACTGAGCTTTCCATCCGAGTGTCTTATCCAATCTTGGAGAACCACATGAACAGGTACAGACGGGCTAAGCCCTAGTTCCTGGAATAACGCATCAAACTCCAAAAGCTTAGTGACATTATATAGATGTTAAGGACGGAGTATGTGAGAAGTCGAAGAGGCTCCATCTAAGAGGAGTTCAGTAAGCTGACATTTGCTGATTCAGATGGTTCATATACAAACGTAGACTGTACTAAATCGCATAATACCATGCAAACACACACAGGCAAATTGTAGTCAAGTAGGTAGAGCACAAAATGATTACCGAGGCAAGCTCTTCAATCATAATTGGTCGATTCCCATCCTTTTCAAACAGTTCATAAGCCCTTCTTGCATGTTGCTCCCAGCTCTCCGTTCCCTCTAGCTGGTGCACGCTTATAGCAGCAGCACAAAATTCCTCAAAATCTAATTTCCTGTATTGGATAGAACTAACCTGCAACATGCATGTGATGGATTTACATTCCAGGGAAGCAAGGTGTTAGAAAATGCAGAGTAGTTATGATCTCTCAGATGCTTACCATGCTCACATAATCTAAGACCCGTGAATCCTTTGTGGCCTCAGTGGAGCTTCTTGAAACAGCCTGCTAATAAACACATTAATAATGGCTTGAAAAGTATTGGAAAAGAAACAATAATTTTGGACAACTGCTGACCGTCTTAAAGTTCTGCATGGAAATAAATCCACTTTTGTTTGGCCCTAACTGTGTAAATTGTTCTCTGAGATATGCTAGCTGAGGTACTGTTAATGTCTTTGCGAGAGCCTGCCAATATGGAAAAGCTTTGATCAATGCATGTCCATGGCCCCAATAGCAGATATTAGAGGTTATATTAAAGAAGTTGAGAGTCAATTCAAATAATTAAGACAGAGATTTCCAACATTCTGTCTCTTGCATTACTTCCATATATATTCTTTTTGGTCCTCCATTTACTGCTATAGTTGCTGGTAAATTTACTTTTGGTCACTCCAGGCAACCCAGAAATTAAAATTCCAATTCCAAAATAACAGGCACCGCTTTAGTCAGATGATATACAGTCAGACACCAAAAGATAATCCATACCCCTAATGCTGATTTGCGTAAAGAAGATGAGGATATGTAAGATCTAACAAGTCTGAGGATTATCATATCAAAAGGTATCTTCAAGTCATCATGATGATTAGCCAGCCAAGGATGACCTGAGTAAAAGCGGGCAATAAGCAATTTTATTGTTTAGTCCATAAAAGCAGAAAATTAATAGCATTGATGCCACACATGGGAAAGGAGATGAAAGACATACAGAGAGCCTGAGCTGCAGTTAATCTTTTACGATAATCCTTATTCAACAGCCTCTTCACAAAATCTATTGCATCAGCCGATAAAGAAGGCCAAGGAGCATCATCGAAACTTGGATCTGTCTTCAGGACAGCACGAAATATGCCAGATTCTGTCCGAGCCCAAAAGGGCCGGCTTCCACATAAAAGAATATAAGCAATTACCCCTATGCTCCACATGTCTGCTTCTGTCCCATATGATCTATGCAAAACTTCAGGAGCTACATAATATGCACTTCCTACAATATCATTCAACCTCTCATCTGCAAAAATTTTACATGTTAGCCCTGAATGTTGTCCTTTCAGCTAAAAATTTAGACAATATGCACAAACTATACACTGGGCCGAACCTGGCTTCACATAGTCAGACAGTCCAAAATCAATTGCCTTCAATCTGGAGTTTTCGTCCTTAGACGTAAAAAGAAAATTCTGAAGCAGAAAAGCAAACATCTGCGTCAGGAAGCCAGCAAAGCATGCCACACAAAAATTTAGCTTGGAATCCTATACTGTAATTTTTCCTTGCAGTTTAAATTTTTTCTTAAAGCCTTTTAGAACAATTTTAAAATTTATATTTCAGTATGAATATTTACAATTTAGGGTTCTAAACTATAGTTTTTATCTTTTTCAATAATAGATAATCAATGAACAAGCACGGACATAATAGAACGTCATTTATGATCTAACGAAGCCCAAAGGCCACAAAAAGAAACACAGGTCATATATACTAGCAAAGTAACAAGCTTTATGAGTTAATCACCTCTGGCTTGAGATCACGATGAACCACACCCTGCAGATGACAGAAGGCCACCACACTTAATATCTGAATCATGACAACCTTGGCATCCTCTTCCGAGTACTTCCCGCCCCTATAAATTACAATTGGATCTGAGCTTATTAGAATGTCATCAATTATGGCAACGCTACCAAATTGAAACTAGAATATCCTCGTCTGGTTTTTCCCTTCTCTTCTTTGGCTTGAAAAATGGAAACAGGAGAACATCTTACCTGGAAAGAATCCTATCCAGCAGCTCACCTCCTTTGCACAACCTGAATTGCGTAAATCACATTGTTAATCAATAACTCTGAAAGTTGTAAGGGAGATCCATGACAAATTAACAGAGAGGATTTAAAAAGAAAATAATATATATATAAATAAATAGGAATAACAATTAGAAACTTCAACTTACTCCATAACTATATAAACATTTTCATCGTCTTCATAGGCTTCATAGAATTGCACTAGGTTCTCATGTCCTGTAAGAACCCGCAATATCCTGACTTCCCTCCGTACATCCTCTATAGCAATTGCTGTTGTCATCTGGCAATTTATCATCCAACGTCAGAACAAGAGAGGAACCCAATTGTCTTAATAATCAATAGCAGAAAGGCACCACAGATCACCATGATTCGTATACTTAATTCATGCGACTTAAGATTCAGAGTTCACTTAAGCAAAAGTAGAACTCAAACATGATTCTCTATATCGAACAGAAAGCATACAAGCCTCGCGAACTGTATTTGATTACATGCTTGCATGTGTTCAAGAAAAACCGCCCCCACCAACGGTTTTATCAGATCACGACGGAAGCAAGCAGATTATGAATGCAATCATTGTTAGGGTGAGGAACCAAATTTCTAATTTCAATGTTCTATCTTATACTAATTCCCATTGCATAAACTCACAAAAATATGCAGAAGGAAAGGAAGAAATTAGAAGACTTTAGACCTTGGATTTTGGAATGACTTTGACGGCCACATCTAGTCCCTTCAAGCTGCCTTTCTTTCCCTTGGCGGAGCAAGTATACCCAAAGTGCCCGCGACCCACCTCTTCTCCAAGTTCATAGTGAGCAGCGAACTGCTTCGAAAACCCGAAGTTCTTATCCAACCCAATCTCGCATTCGCCTCCCTCAGGGATAGAGGCCTCGTTTGGCTTCACAGAACCATGCCGGCGAGCGAGCAATGCCCGAATGTGCTTTGCCGGTGAAGGAGGAGGGAATGGGCGTTTGAAAATGCGCAAAGGAGTTGAGCTCACACTTGAATTTGCCGGTGAGTTCTTGAACAGACTTGGCAAGGGACTTGGGCTGTAAAAGGGGAAGTTTGAGGATTTGGGGGTTCGAATTTTTGGAAGCCCGTCCTTGTCATCGGGATATAATGGGTTTTCTCCATGAGTTTGTGAGATTTCAATAGGTTTTCCATGACAGAGTCCCATGAAATCAGAAAGTCAATAACAGAGCACACTGGAATCCACAAAATTAACAAGGCAGGAGATCTAAATATACAAGGAGAGAAGGAGGAACTGAATGGAGAGCTTTGAAGCTGCAACAAGGTCAGAAAAGGGAAGTCATACTGGAATGGAGAGAGAAAAGGATTTCCTTGAGTGGAAGCATTAAGGGGACTGAATTTCTTTTGGTTGATCAAGGATGACCATTAAAGATCAGCACAGTAATTCCCTGAACTAGAATCAGGGGAATTTATTGGAATGGGAAATCTGAGGGGGAGAAGTAATCGTGAAATTATTGAGGAAAGGAACTATACTTTTATGACTAAACAAGGAATGCTCGAGAGGGGAACTTGGCGAAAACTAACCTAAAAAAGAAGCAATCTGTAGTTAGAACGACAAGGAAAATGATGGTAGAACCAGAGCAAGAAGAAAACTTAGTTAATATTTTTCCAATATAAAGGAGGGGTGTGGGGAGGGAGAGAGATGAGGAAAGTGAGGCAAAGATGCTTAGCAGGGACTGCAAGAAAAAGAAAGAAAACCCAAACCTTCTTTTTGCATGGTCTTTCAAAAACACAATTATTTTATTTTAAAAATTGTTTTCTTGCTTCCATGAAATAGTTTGTAGAGACATATCACTTTATTAGTGGTGATATCCTTTCTTCTCAGCTAATAATAAAGGTGAGTGGGGTAGAATTTGGATCCTTCCAGCCTGTCCTTATTGATCTCAGAAAAACAAAGATATATCCATTTCATATGAGACCAAGAACAATGTTACTCGGGAGTTTTAAAAAACAACTGCCTGCACTGTATCCAAATTCAAGCCTTGACCCCCTTTTGCTGTTCTCTCAAAGGCTGTCTTTTTCTGCTTTTATCTTTTTTTGTGTCTTCCTCAGTGAATCTGTCATGCCGATAAGTAACTTGATCACAATTCACCTTGAGGGGAATGCAAGTAAAACATGCGAGTTCTGTTCATATATTAGATTTTCTTCTCCAAATAATTAAATAATTCATGAGCCATATCCTTTATTGAGATTTGAGCAGTTCTATTCTGCAGACCAGACAGCTAAAATATAAAGAAAGAGTTGGAGTGGAATGCAATAATAAAAGCATGATGATTATATTATTAAGGAAAACCAGTTCTGCAAGAATGTCTGCCGGCACACAACTGAAAATTTGCTAATCCATAGTCTGTAAACCAAACAACCCAAGTCCTCAGATTCAGCCTACATCTTGTTAGGAAGGGATTGATTTTGGTATTAGTTTACCTGTGAACTCCCTCATCAACACGTGCCGCGTGTACCCTTTAGTTTAGATTTGATTTGAAATCGGGTTTTGCTTTGGTTTGTACTTTGGTTAATTGATATTGAGTTTTCATTCAAAAAAAAAATCGGGTGTTGCTCCAAAGTTGGTGCAGCAACTTTTAAGCTCCACTATAAAGACTTGAGAAGGAGATCTAAGTTGACAAGGGAATAAAGGAGAAAAAGAAAAAAAAATTACAATCATAAAGGCTTTAAAGATGCATTGCCTTTGACTAGCATTATTGAGCGTCACTTTATTCTTACAGACTCTAATTAATCACTGCTTGTGGTAGGGGTTTTTCTTTCCCCACACCCTATTATAGTTGCAATAGTAGAGTATGCGACATATCATAATATTATAGCGCGAACAAGCAATCGTTCATGTAGAAAGATTTAGACATAACTATATTTAACCAACCCTATCCAACAAACCAGCATAATGAAGATGTCAATCATATGGTAGCTTAACGAAAGTTTCCAAAATATAAAGATGGTAGCTTTTAGGGCAACAATTCAAGCATCATATGCCTTTCTTTTTGAGGGAGCTAGATCACGCCTACGAATCACCAAAGCTTTATGAGATTTAAATTGGGTGTTCGCCATTTCTTGGAACCATAGATACATTAAAAAAAAAAAAGGCAGTTCATTTATGCTCATAAAGTTTGAGATGAGGGTATATATTCCACAAGCACAAGGCTTTTAACCTCTTCCTCTTCTTTATTCCTCACCTTTCACTAAAATTCAAAGCACCAAACTTTTGATTCTGATTTTAAACTATTAGCAATATTCATATATTTGATCGATTTGAACATGAGGAGACTAAAAGGTTTTTAAAAAAAAAAAAAAAAGAATGGCCTCAAAACCCAGGAAAGCTAAGCTTTAGAACCTTGGCTCAAGCGATGTCATAGTGACAGAATAAATGCACTAGGTTGTATAGGCATAGATGGCTACAGCCTATACCCTATAGTATGAATATAAGTACTAAATTATACATGTAACCGTATAATGTGGCACATTGGCGATTGCATATATTTGACCATATATGAAATGATTAAGTCAGGTTGGCACTTGGTAAGCCACAGTATGATGATTGCTGCTAATTTATTATATAAGCACAAGCTGTTGCATTCTCTCTGTGACTTCAACATACAGACAAAAGTATTTTCTATTACCAACTAGAAATGTGCTTATTGAATCATTTGCCTGACGGCTATTATACACCTTTCTTAGATGATTAAGAATCAATAAAAATGATTTCTAATCTTCATTCTGTCAGATATATAATATATTTTCTTTTCTTTTCAAAATCTACTGAGTGCATATAAATAATGGGATACATTGTGTGGATGATGGATTAAATCTCCTTCCCATTATGAATTGAGACTACAGAGTCATGACTGGCCCGCAGAACAGAGTGGTTGGGGCTTTGTGAAGCAAAGAGAGGTGGGGAAGCAAGAACACAGATTTCTCTCATTTTTCTCTTCCTGGTTCAGAAGTCCCAGTTTGACCCTTTAATGAAGACACAAGGCAATCAAAGGGGGGCTGGTGGGGTGACCTGTCCGGAACACATGACCGTAGGCTCACACTAATCTAAGTAAAAGAGGATTGTGTGTCACAAATAAAATCCAAGAAAAGAGCACTTATTGTGGCCTTGGATAACTCTGAGTGGGCAGTGACAAAACTCTTGAAAGCAATATATTCTGTAAGCGTGGGAATATAATTTAGATTTGGGAGGGAGAGGGGGGCACAAGATAGAGAAGAAAGGTAAAACAAGAACACCAATAGGGGCACTTTTTGATGTCACAGTGGACTCAAAAAGAAATTATTATTCCTTGATACCCTGATACTGCATTCTAGGCTTCTCTCCATCCTTTATTTCTATTTCAAAAAAAATTGCATAAAGCTGCAATGAAAGAAGATGGGAGGAATAGAATAAAAGTTGGTACATTTTGTTCTCACGGGCACCAAATACATTAAAAAAATAAACAACAATAATGCAAGTGAACATGGAAGAACATGGGGTACAGATGTGTCCAATAGTCACAGAATGAAAAAAAATCCCCAAAGAAGAGAACCCCAATCTGCATGATCAACCATTTTGGTCAAATGTTTGTTAAGAACCCGCTTTCATTGTTCAGAATCCAAAGGCCCTGCCTGAGCGCTAATCACGACATATCTAGCTGATTCTGAATTATGATCCCATGACCTCTCTCCCTCCCTCCCTCCCCCCCTCCTCTAATTTGCTGTCTTTCAAAGTTGAAAGTTGACAAGAAAGAATAAGGTGTAATTAATTGGTGGGGCTGAAGATTTTTCATGAGAAGTTGTTGGAAGAAGGACAAAGCGGGGGGAGGAGGAGGGACAATATGCCTCGGGGAATGTTATTAATTAGGGCACATACATGTAATGGTGAATTAATCAATGATAATGACGTTATAAGTTGGCTAGCAAACGGTGGGAAAAGGGCCTGGAAATTAGAGTTGGACACCAGTTTGGCTTGTTTTCTTGTGCCTGAGGTTGGGAAGGATGTAATAATGCCTAGAGAAGTGAGTATGAATAAATGGTTATTGGTTAATCTACTTTATTAAGAGGGAATACTGTGGAGAGAGCGTGTTCAGATGATTTAGATATGAAAACTTGAGAAGTTGATTGGATTAGCTTATTTTGGGGGACAGTCAGCAGTAATGCAGTAGAAATAATAGTCTGAGAGTGAGGAAGAGGCCCCGCAAGATGTGGATCATAATATAATATAGGAGTAGGTGACCCACCACAGGAATACGAGAGATCTCGTTTTTGTTAGATTGGAATTGGAATTGCTTTGACCACAACTAAGAGAGAAAAAAAGGCAAGAAAGGGACAGCCATTTGGGACGGTGTTCATCATTCAGCACTTGTCACATTAACCCACCCACTTACAGGGAAGACAACACTATGTCTCGCCCTTGCTAATTGCTATGTGTTTCCTTCACCCCCCCCCCCAACCCTCATCTCTCCAACACGTGCCCAGTATTTAGACTTGAATGAACATGATCCAAACAAGTGTAATATAATTAGAATATAAAATACTCCTCCGGTCCTTAATATAGGACTCAATTGTTAAGTTAGTTTTGGTCTTAAGACCCAATTGTTAAATTAGTTTTGGTCTTAAATATAAGACCTATTTCTCATAGTTATCAATTTTTTCTAAATTACCTTTATGGATACTCCCTCAACCATAATCAAGTAGAAAAGGAAAATGGGGTATTAAAAAAATGATTATGGTATTTTAGGAAAAACATGTCACATTTCTTATAATTAACTAACTTACCTAACTTCCTTAATCTAATCAAATTAGTTAAATGAGTCTTATATTAAGGACCGGAGGAGTACTACTCTTTCGGTCCTTAATATAGAACACAGTTCTTGAGTTAGTTTTGTCCTAAATTAAGATCCATTTCTTATTTATCAATTTTTTCTAAATTACCCCTATGGATGCTCTCTCAACCATAATCAAATATAAGATGGAGAGAGGTATTAAAAAAGATGATTATGGTGTTTTGGAAAAAACGTGTCACTTTTTTTATAATTAACTAACTTACCTAACTTTCTTAATTTAATAAAATTAGTTAAATGTGTATTATATCAAAGACCGGAAGAGTATAAAGTTATGCGTGATATAAATATAAGATTAAGGAGATAACTGAGGGGATGGAATAAATAACGCGGAAACGCATGTCAAGGGAGGTTGAAGGAATACATGTGACAATTTTGTGTGCGCGCGCGCAGAAGATTGTTGATACCTGGTTTAAATTTTATAGGGATCGGAGATTCTGTGCCAACGTGGATGTTGCTTTTTTTTTTTAATTGTGGTGGTGGTGGCAGCCCAATGGGAAAACCCAATCCAAAAATATGCAAGCAACTGGGCCCACTCTAATTTCCACGTTTGCGTCCCATTATTCAATATTTACGCATTTTGACTTGTCTGACAAAACACACCACACGATCATGTTTTCTCAAAAACGATGGCTTTCTTTTGATTATGTTTACACTTCATTTTCCACCTATGCTTCTCTCCAATTATTATCTCCATCATAAGATTATATTATTGCACGATCGACCCTTTTTTGGGACAAAATTTTGTGCTGCCATATGAAGCAACCATTTGGTCAAAGCATGAAGAGGGAGTTGCTTCTAATGACTCGCAAGAATTTGAGATCCTTGAAGATTCGCTAAGCTGTTCACACGAAAAGAAAGAGATAATTTTACATGCAAGTTATAAAACCTAAAACAAACACGTGTAGAAGTAAGGTATAGAGGAATTATAAAACTTTTCATTAAAAAATTAATAGAATATGGAGGCAGATGTTTTTTTTCCGTGTTGTTGTTTTCGTGGGGAGGGGAAGAAAAGACGAGCAATCAAAGCAACTAAGCGAGAAAATAATCAAGTCCAAGTTAAAGAGATATCCGAGGCTGAGAGCCCATTCCAAGCTGATATAAAGTTTAAAGGAGAATAACATGGGCCTCCGCCAAGGCCCAACAAAAGTTCAACCCCCAAACTTGCCAGATTTGGTCTGTTCAAATGAAAGGGCTGTGCACCCACCGTGTGATCATTCGTAAATTATAACATCATATGTTTGAATGAATTACGTTAATCCAGATTTAATTAACTAATAGTTAGTCCAGTTGGTAAGGTGTCAGCTCATAACTCACAAAGTCATAAGTTCGAATCCTGCTGCTGATGTGAGGACCTTGTTGGTGGGTGATTTGTAAGTATATCTGTAAGCGCTCTTTGAGCTGGAGGCATGTCCTGATCCTAATGAGCTCCCGGAAGTCAACTCATCTAAACCTTTTTGTACAAAAAAGTTACTTTTTATTAAGACGGGCCTCGTGTCTCTTTTCTTTCGCACGCACACATGGTGGAAACCTCTCCTCTCATTTATTTTCAGTAGGAAAAATCATAAATTTGAATATAATATTAAACTATATGTGATTATAAATAACACATTAATTTTAGCAAAAATAAGAAATTATATATAGTGTGGCCCGGGTGCATAGTGGTGCCTCGGTGGGGGCCGTTGAGTTGAGTCAGCTTATGCAGATGTGGTGGCAGGGGATCAGGGAATGCGAATGATCGAGGATGACGAGGGTAGGTAAGAAGGAAGCAGGGATTCTGACTAAATACGCACCAGTAGTGCACTAGTGGTGGTTGTTGAAATTCATCAGCAAAATTCCTCATTCTGTCCGTTCACAGTTGTGGCAGTGCCCTGTTTCACATATCAGCTAAGGCTGCCTGGATTCCATCTACGTACCTACCATTCTTTCGTTTACATTCACTCTACTCATCATGTTATTATTCTCCCTCCTCCTTATATTCTGTTCATGCATCTATATATATATATATATATATATCTGTCATTTACAGTACATCGTCCTATTCTTCCATGGTAAATAAAATGAAGGTAATAGAGAAGAAGTCGTATCTATAGAGGCATATACACACACACACACATGAAGACGAAAAGAAGAGTATAGTAATTTGTATTGGAAAAATGTCAGAGAGGGAGAGAGGGAGGGAGGGAGTTAAAATAGTGGAGGGTAATGATTGCAGAGATGAGAAAAAGAGAAGGAAAGCACGCCGGAGAGAGAGAAGGATGAGAGGCAAAAAGAGAGAATGAAAAGAAGAGCACGTCTCCGACATAACACCCCATGCACAATGCTCTCTGTCTTCACTTTTCCCATTCATTGTTCCCCTTCATCTTCATCATTTATATAATTCTGTGGACATATTTCTATTGCTCCATTTCAATAATCATATATCTGGACCACATAGTGTGTGCTTATTCTTCTTTCACACTCCACCTCTCACCTATATACGTGTGTGTGTGTGTGTGTGTGTTAAATGTAAATATATGTATTCCCACTAGCTACAAAGGTGGCTTTTCTTGTCAGCCTCCTTTATGCACGCTTCTCTCTCGCCCTTCCTCCCCCTTCCTATATTTAATTCACATGCGTGCTTTCATTTCTCTTGCGTCCATATGACGTCTCATTTTTGTAGCCCATATATACAAAGCCATTTTAAACTTTAACAGATTTCACATATATAGAGTGTCTCACCACTCTCCTAGCTAGCTTTCTTGTCAAGTTCCGCATTATTATTATATATGTATTATGTGTGTGGGGACAGAGATGGAATCATGAATGAACAGGGATGGTTGTTGTTTAAAGAAAGACCTAGCTAATCGGGGTGCGTCAACATTTACTCCAGAATGAGGGTTAATAGTTTCACCCAAAAAAAAGAAAAAAAGAATGAGGGTTACAAGGTTAGCCCCGACAGTTAATATTATAAAAGGGGTGATTGGAATCCAAGGTAGATATGGGGTGCTAGAGCGTCACGTCATGGGATGAATCGTACGACTATATGGCTGGAATGCCCGGTAGCTCTGAGTGTTTTGACCAGCATAGTGATCTAGAAAAATTAAGAAGTCTCGTGGATCATATGAACAAGCAGCTTGCTCATTTGCTCTTCCTCATATTTCAAACTCCTGCCAGTACATCATGTCCTTATCACTGTATATATTCAATTATTTCCGGTTGGCACAGATCATAGTTTTAAAATTTGGATCCTTTTTCCTCATTCAAACGTCAGGGTTTCGGGGCAGGGACTAGACATTCCACGCTTTGACCACTGCTTATGTTCCCCCCCCTTGATTTAGTTTCCAAAAATGAATTCACATTTTCAAACCCCCTCCCTGTTTATCATGCTCCCTCCGTATCTGCGAGCTATTATTATTAACTACTGACCAAAGACACTGCACATAACGTGAGCGATTGACTGATTAATTGCTACACGCACATTATTATTGGTTTCGCAAATCTCAGGATGTAAATGAAATTTGAAAATCATATGGTAGAAATTGATAAATCATATTGCCTGGTGGGAGTGAAAGGGAAGCTCTCGCGTTGAATGACATACTTGATTTGGTCTCATGGGTTGTGGGATAATGGAATCTGCCGCAAGTACGTGCAAAACAGTTGCACGCAGACACGCATTAGAAAAGAAACCAAAACACGAGAAAAAGAGATGCTCCTTCATTCATTCTCAGCTGCTCAATGATCATCATCTTCTGTGTCGTCGTACCATATGCCATAAAACCCCCGCCCCCCGCCCTAATCTCCTACAAGAAGAAAACAGAAACCGATGCAAAGTTAACTCCTATTTTTTCCTCTTTCTTTTTGGTGTAATTTTTCACAAATTGTGTTGTGACGGTCAAAATTAATTTATTTATACTTAATATATCACAATTTTGTGATTGAGTGTTAATTGTAATTTATTCAGAATTAATCCGACGGTACGGACTTAATTAAAAAGAAAAAGCAAAAACATCATTACGGTGGAGAGAACTTTAACATGTCATTTGATTCTTGTCACACGTCAATGCTGCGAGCGTCTCAGCTTTATGCCTTATTTATTTAAAATGCAATTTTGTATGCACGTGTTCAATTTTAAAGATGAGGTGAAAACTTCACCCAAAAAAAAAAAGAAAAGATGAGGTGAAAACAAAATCATAATTTAAAAAATAATTTTATGGTATACAAAATAAGTATGTAGTTTTATCTTGACTTGTATAAAAATATTTTTAAAGAAAACCAAATACCCTCTTAATTCGCAACGTCATTAACAGGACCGTCGAATAGTTTTTTGTTAAAAGATAATATTATACTTATAAATAGAATAACAAGTAGAAGTTTTATTTTAAACAAATCTAATGTTTACTGTGAATCTATACCAGTTTAATAAAAATCAACCACGTGAAGAAGACTTCTATGCATTGAGAATTATTGATTGCTCCTGATCATATAAGCATTCACGTATACAGAATACCTCTTATTTTCGGCTACCCAACGAAAAAAAATATCCCGTTTGAAGGATTTTCTTTTTCAAATCTCTCGGTTCTCCTTTCCTCTTCATTTATCGTAAATAAATAAATATAGAAATCAAAGAACATAAATAAGGAGTATCATTTGCTCGCCCTCGCCGTATATACTTACCTGTTTGATATCAGGGTTGGGTTGTATTTGTCTGGGTTAGTGGGTCTTTGCTTTCCAAGCAAAATCCACACAGGAACTTGGAGTGGGAAGTATAAAAAGGTAGAGACTTGCGAAAAAGCAGGAAAAAAAGAAAAGAAAACAGCAGAGATCTAGCAACTTTGATTATTGGAGGCTGTACACACACATATACATATATATATCAGAGCTGGAATTCGTTCCTTTTTGTTTTTTTGTTCTATATGAAGCCAGATTTGGGAACACATTCTTCCAGTTATGGGGCCGAATCCTAATGTCCCGCTTACAACCCCCTTTTGAGATTTCGCTGTCACAATAACACCAAGTCTGTAACTAAGACTTCAGCATCCCATTGGCCTGACCTACAATACAACCCAACCAACGTAACAGCAATTCCACACTTCCCGATCCCCCATGCCTTCTTTAGAATCAGTGCATATACGTTCAGTTCAGGACCCCCCCCCCCCCAAAGTACTCATTCAAATACTGCAAATGAAAACGAGAGAGAGAAACGAATATGCCATTTTCTATAGCTTGGAAACTCACAGAAGCATTGCTTTTACAGAGATATTACAGAGCCCTTCCCTTCGTTGTCACCTGTTACACATCACGCACAGTACATTACTATATCTCTTTCTTCCTCATCTACGAGTCAGATTCTTTCCCCTCCGGTTTTTCCTACTTACATGCAACATTCAGTTCACATGCAAAGATTCCCAACACCACATATATATAAACCCTAGTCATCCCTCTCCAGCGCCTGTCACATGATTATCTCATTTATATATTTTGCTTTTCTTAAAACAAACGACCTAACAACTAAAATCGCACAAATTAACTCATAACGAGTTAACTACCGTCCTAGAAATACCAATGCTAAGAAAATGAGAACGACTTCTGCAATTTAATGGACTCTCCCTATTTACTCAGACAATCAATTTGCGGTCCAGGACGCGACGCCGTTTGGATCTTTCGCTTGAATTGGAACGTTCAAGCAAAGATTTCAAAGCGTTCTGGAGGAAGTGGATTGATTCGATGCTGTGGTCTTTGTCGGCGGCCACAATAAGAACGTTTCGGGTTCTTCCTCCTAGTGTTGCCATTTCTGCTTTGAGGGTTTTGAGATGCAGCGACTTTAGGATTTCGATGAGATCAGGTATGAGGTCGGAGCGATCTTCGCAGCATAGGGAGGCTTTGAATATGAGCCTTCCGTCTCCGGCGTAGTCGCCGCTAGTGGACAGGACGGTGATTTCGTCTGTCTCTGAAGGAATGGTTTCGAGTTCGGTGATTTGTGAAGTTTGCTGTTTCAGCTCTCTCACTCGCTGGACAACCTTTGCTAGAAGCGAGGCCTTGTCAGTCTGAGCAAACCCATACAGATATATTTAATTAGATGAGAATTCGGATGAGAATAATTGAGGCAGATATTAAAAGAAACAGAAATATTATTGTAGTTTGTGTAAAGCTTTGTGACTTTCCCTATTTCATTGTATTTATGCTCGTAGAAAGAAACTGTGGGAGTTCTCTTTTTCATTACGTGCCTTTAATGGATTGGCCTGATAAAGCTTTTGAACATTCAAAAGCTCTTTTTTTTCAAAGAACACGAAAGAATCCTAGGGGAAAAGAATGATCTTTTGTAAGAGAAGATGCGTAGAAATGCAAGTGTTCAAAAGTCCGAGATACGATCAGTAGATAGCGATTTTAGAGAAAGAGATCATTTTTTGTCTCATCCTAATGGAGCAGACAGCAGTTCGCTTCCTCTCATGGTTGACGGAGAATTCTGAGGGTGAAGAAGACGCAGAAAATTAAAACAAGGGCTTCCATTAAGAGTTCAATTAGTAATCTTCTGATCATCATTGATGAACAACTTACAATATCCATTAATAAACTCTCAATCCAACTAATTGATCTGATTAACGGATCATCATTTCAATTCAAATGGAGCAAAATTAAGTCCAGTAAAGTCGAAGAAGATGAAGCTGTATGTGTTGTGGGTCAAAAGGCAAGCCGCCTTTCAGACGCAAGGCATTCTATATGCATGGCCTCTACTCTCTACCTGTTTATTTTTCCCTCGCCGACGAATTAAATGACAATCTAAACCAAAGAATCAAAACAAAACAAATAATCTTATTGACTTGATGAGAAGAGGGGGGGAGTTACCTTAGAATTACAGGGAAGAAGAGTGCGAAGCTTATCGAGGTGGGAATTGATCCTCTCTCTCCTGCGCTTCTCAGCCTCCTTGTGATTCTTCAAAGCGGCGAGGGCTCTATCTTGCTGGGGCGTATCAGTAATTTCGGAAGAATCCAAGGGGTAATAAGAGGAGCTGCAGAAACTGTGCATTGTGGAGGCTGCAGCAGGAGGAAGGCCGTACGATGCGGGGGTGAAGAAGGAAGCGCCGTTGCCGGCGAGGAATTGGTAGAGCTCAGAGTTCTCCATCTGCTGCTGCATGCCGATGACGATGATGACGACGAAGATGAAGATAGCTAGCTATGTAGCTAGCCGCTTTCAGCTAATAAGCCTCAACTTCTACAGCTATGTTATTCCTACAAGCCTCCGACCTAAATAATCTCTGGGGTGGTGTGTGTTGGGAAGAGAGAGAGAGAGGGGTTCTTGTGGTGGTGATACTTATGATTGCGCTTTTTGACTGGCCCGAGAGTTCCACTTTGGATTGTGGATATTGAAAATTAAAAAAATAAAAAGTCTTGGACTGGGAATGCCCGGCTTTCGGTGATTAATTTCCTCCTTTATTTTATTTTATGTTTTTCCTTCTACGCTCAATTATTTATCAAATATTATCTTGTGGATAAAACTGGTCCTCCCATTTTATAGATAATTATAATTTATGCAGTCATCATATATGTAATCCATTAACTTCTCTCGCTTTTTTATTGGTGGGCATGTCCAATTAACTCACTGCCCTCACGCAAACAAACAAATCAAAAGCACCTTTCTTATTTATTTATTTTTCCAAGAGTTAATTAGAAAAGGAAAGTCAGGCCTTTTAGGAATATTGAATTTCAAACTGCGTAGCGGTAAATAATCATGGTTAAAAGCACACTCGCATATGCTTTGTCATCACTTTTGATAAACAAATGAATGATTCAAAAACGAACATAAACAATTATTATGTATTTCGAATATGATACACAGATCATATTATCGTGCGCGTAATGGATCCCGTTCAGAACTTGTGGGCGATTATACAAAACTCGACAAATCAAGTGTTTGGCTATTGAGCCAGGGCTTTACGTGAACGAACTTGGACGTGGGGGAGACGGAATATGGTGGGAATAAGTAAAGACAGAGGTTGAAAGACAAATATTGTGTGTGAGCTGGAGGCTGCAGATGAATGCACGAGTCATAGAAAACGGCAACAATATGTCATCAACAACCAGCATCAAGACAGGCCAATTTGAAAACCTTCAAGACGTCACAGACCAGTAATATCAGTCTGAATCTTATATGTATTCACAATACTCACTGCCTGCATGTGAAGCCTTCAAATTAGAATTGTGATAATCATAATTACAACGCGAATCTCATGTGTAATCCCATTCTTCAGCGGTGGGCTTATTTGACTGCAAAGTATCTATTATTCATTAAGATGCGCGCCGCAAGAAGGTGTTATATATTGACATGCTACCTGCAGGTAACGAGCTTTATCGTATATGTTAAGAAATTAACTACATTTATATTATACTGATGGGTGCTGTGTATGTATTACTACCTCCGGTCCTAAGTCTAAGAGCCAATTGACTAATCTGAGTAGATCAAAAAAAAGTTAAGTTAGTTATTTGTAATAAATTGGTATTATCTTTCTTAAAATATCCTTGTTAATTAAGTGTATTGGCTAATACAATTATTAGAAAGACTACTTTAAAAAAATAAATAAATATGAGAGACAAAGTAGACTAAAATCTTATATTTATAACCAAAATAAAAGTCAAACAAAATCTTATATTAAGAATCAGATATAGTACTATTAATCTATTATATGAAGTCGAGCCAACCCTGTAAGGAATGGCGTCACTCCTTTTAAGCTGTATATTAGTTATATAAACATACGTATGTATATATAGATCATTTGTTCTAAATACTTGATCTCATCCAAGTGTCTTAGCTTTATTTATTATGTTAAAATTACTAAATCTAAAAGGAATTTTTAAAAAAAAAACTGACAAAAAAAAAAGAGAACAATCTAGTGCTCTTTTTTTTGTTATGTATTGATATTATTCTATTAAAAGCAATCATATTCAATATATTATCGAATACTAAATATAACTTGTGGGTGTTTGAACTAACGGTTTAGCTCCGTTTAACTGTCAGGTAGCGCGCCAGTCTTATATCACCCGCAGCCGCGGCGACACGCAGAGAGAGTGGGGAGGGAGAGAGTTGGGTGGGGGCTTATAGTGGGCTAAACATGGCCCAAGTCTTGGTACCCAATGGGCTTTTCTATTTGGTTAGGTTGGACGGATGACAGCAGTCGATGCTTCCGCTAGCCTACACGTAATCACCCATGGAAAAAAAGAAAGGAAGTAAAACAAATTATGTACCTTTCCATGTGGGCATAATATTTGAAGCCAAACATGCATTTCAAATCTGCATACCCAGCCAGACACGTAGACGAAGCCTGATCCCAGCTTATCCCGATCAATCAATTGGTTCTACGCATTGTCGGCTCATTAATATGCAGGTTTGTTTTTGAGCCGAAAGGGTTTTGGGCAGAAAATGTCTGCTAAGCGTGAAAAGCTGCTAACACGCGTGCGCTAGCTGCACTATTTGCTAAAGCACCGTGTTAAGAATATACTAGATTCTATATTAAACTATAAAAAAGACAGACTTATGACCTGCAAATTAAAGCCATGGACACGCCCTGCCTACCGGACAAGCTCAGGCTAGCTATCAATCCTAAGTGCGTGTGCATTATGAGAGGAGAAAGAAACAGCTAATTAGTACTCCCTCTGTTCCTTATTATAAGAGACATTTGATGCTTATGGCATGTTCCTATATATAAGAGACACTTAAAAGTTGTCTCTTATTTATTGTCTCCAACTCACACTCTCTCTCCTTCCCACTTCTCTTTCTTTTAATAATTTAATTGTTCTCTCTCATGCTCTCTTTCCTTATTAATGAGGGCATTTTTGGAAAAAAGATTATACTTTTTACACATTGATTGTTCTTAACTAATTTTAACTGTTTTTTTGAACAACGTAATTCGGTTATTCGTCTCTTATAATAAGAAACGGAGGGAGTAGTAATTAAGTACAAACTTTACTTAATTTGGGTGAAGCTTTAATATACTTTTTTTATTTAAAAAAAAAATACAAAGGCAAGCTCACGCTTGAGGCAAAAACACACCCAGACTCGAACTGGGAGAGGCACATGCCTCCCTCACTCGATGAAAGTCTTCCAAAAGTCATCTTCTGCAACTTGGATCAATCTCACTTATCAGAGTTGTCTGCAGTGCCACCCTGATGGCCATTTCTAGCTAAAATATAAGCACACTCAATTGTTTCCCAGTTACCATAGTTCACTTGAATAGATTGTTTCTCCTAAATTAGATGCTTGACCCCTTCAATCTCATGATAAAAGGTTCGACCCAAAAAAAATCTCATGATAAAAGGGATGGATTAACAAGGATCGGGATGCTGCCAGAAACAAGTTAAGAACTGTCTACTACTATTCCGTTTTTTTAATATAAAAACCAATTTTTTGAATAAGTTTGTCTTTTTTATAAGATCTTTTTAGAGTTTATCTAAATATTTAAAGTATTATTACCTATTTTATCTCTAATTTAAAACATTTAATACATTCTTTTTTTTCATATTTACCTATTTATATCTAGGAGTATATTTGAGAAAAAAATTATATTTACTGCATTTTAATTATTTTCTTAAATCGAGTAATTTAGTTAAAAAGATCTTATAATTATAGCATGCTCTCGCGTCTTTAATGCACAGGAATGCATCTCCTTCTCTCTGTTTCTACTACCTCGACTGCTTCTGTTCCATCCACGTCCAAACCAAAATAAAACCCACGTAACCACGTGTTTGTTTGTTTATCATTCCAATAATAAAGAGGAAGCCTGGGGGTCTGTTTTACTCATAATATCGGATTGTTTGGGGGACACCAAATTGTAGGTAGGTTGTATAGACTACTGCAGAGTGAAAGAACGCACCACTGCACGGCAAGCGCGGAAATCATTAAACCATTGACCATACAAGATCAATTGATGCAACTATGACCCTTCCATTTTCATTAATGTTGAGCCGACAATCGTTCTATGCAAATCTCGAACTACTTTGAGACAATAGATCCAGTTATACATTTTCACTGTGTATGTAACTGATGATTGATTGCGTATCAGACTATTTATGAGTGATGTTAGTGACATAATTATATCATATATAATAGTTTTACCGGAACATAGAGCCGGTAATGTGGGCCAACCCGCCGATTATGGGTTGGCCCGTGGCGGGCCTGAAGCTTGGCAGGCTAGGTTTTTTAGGACCGCTTTCTGACGGGTTGAAATTTTTTCAACCCGGCCCGCGAGGGTGGGTTGGCGGGTTAGGCCCACCAACCCGCCAAATTTTGTTTTTTTGTTTTTACTTTTTTTTTAATAAAACCTACTCAAAGTTTCAAATTTCTAAATACCTAAAATAAAACATGTAAATAGAAATTATCATAAATAAAACATGGAACCCATCCAAAGTTCCAAGTTTCAAGTTTCAAATATATCAAAATATTAAACATATGATTAAATGAACATGATATGTCCTTAATAATTTAACAAACATCTCAAATTAAAACATAAATCCAAATTAACACTACCACAAAGTCACAAACACAATGTCACTACACAAATCACTATCAAGTGCTCAATCATCACTCATAAGCTAGGGCAAAGGCGTAAAGCAAAGACAGAGAGCAGAGAGCTTGGGGCTTGGGACTTGGGACTTGGGAGTTAGGACTGGCCGAGGGCGACTGGGAGACTGGGTCTAGGAGAGTTGGGAGTCTGGGAGGAGTGCGACACACAAGCAAAATGTGAAAATGAGACCGTGTTGGTGTTGCCATGTTAGATTATTAGACATGGACTGCTTACTGTTGCACTGTGGACTAGGCCAAGAGTGTAGAGACTGAGAGGCAAAGGGAAAAATTTACCAAAAAAAAAAAGGGTTAAACGGGTTGGCCCGCTAACCCTGCGGGTTGGCCCGCCGCGGGTTTGGGCTTGGTGGTTATGGACTCAAACTTCCATTTTAAAACGGTCCTAATTTTTATCAACCCAACCCGCCACTTGTTAGCGGGTTGGTGGGTTGAGCCCGTGGACTCAACCCATATTACCGGCTCTACCGGAACAGTTGATTTTCAATAACGAGCGATAATGGTTATATTATTATATATTTTGGTGATGAAGACATAGCAGGCATTACGGAGAAGACGATCAAAGCGATAGAGGGACTTAAATTATTATTATATGAACCGTGGGAGGGGGAACATGATAAATTAATTACCAATATTAGCAGCAGCAGCAGTACTAATAATAATAATAATAATAATAATGCATGAAAGTGTGTGTGTGT